GCCCAGTGCTTCTTGACTCGTATGTCGGCCAGTCTGTGAACACTTTGGCCCAGTGCATCTAGACTTGTGTATAGGCCACTAGCCTTGACTAGATTTGCCTATTGTATCCAGCTGTTTTGTATGTGTTGACTGAAGGTGTTTTGCTGATGTGTGAGGTAGATCCCTGTAGCCATGATGCTACTTGTCATGCATAATATTGTAATAAGTTTTATTTTCATGCATAAAAATAAAGAAATATTAATCAATGATGTGTTTGTAATCATCATTTGGGTGTTGAATTGTCAACTCTTTGAATTATCAAGACTTCAAAGTCCCACCTGACACTCAATAACTTGAGGGGGGCACGAGTGGATTTGCTGTGCAGAGTTGCGTCCCTTGGGCACGCAAGAAACCCATCATTATGCGTTCGAATCCTGGTTCGCCCCGATTATGTTTCTAGGTTTGTCAGCACCATACCCGTGCTCGTGGGTTTCACCGAAGAGGTAAACGTCTGAGACCTGCATCACTTCGGGCTTTCCTCCCACATTAAGCTGACATGCCGTGATATAACTGGAATACTGTTAAAAGCGGCGTTAAACCCAACCCAACCCCACTCACTCACTCACTCACTCAATACAATAACTTGAGTGTCTGTGATAATTTCTTTAATGTCCTTGTTCATTATTGTATAACTGTGGTCTGTAAATAAGTCTGGACCAGACAATCAAGTGATTGGTATCATGAACATAGATCCACATTATTGGGATATACAATAAAACTATAGTAGAATGGAGATATAACACAGTGGATAATCCTGGATCATACAACTGATGGTACTGTGTGTCCACTGTGTGTACAGCAGGACTCCAGACACACACTACCATCAGTTGTATCATCCAGGATTATCCACTGTGTTATATCTCAGCAGGACTCCAGACACACAGTACCGTCAGTTGTATCATCCAGGATTATCCACTGTGTTATATCTCAGCAGGACTCCAGACACACAGTACCGTCAGTCGTATCATCCAGGATTATCCACTGTGTTATATCTCAGCAGGACTCCAGACACACAGTACCGTCAGTTGTATCATCCAGGATTATCCACTGTGTTATATCTCAGCAGGACTCCAGACACACAGTACCATCAGTTGTATCATCCAGGATTATCCACTGTGTTATATCTCAGCAGGACTCCAGACACACAGTACCATCAGTTGTATCATCCAGGATTATCCACTGTGTTATATCTCCATTCTATTATAGTTTTATTGTATATCCCAATATTTGATGCAACTTAATATACAATATATCTACGGTGGAATCTCGAAAGCATCCAATTTTGGCCTCAGTCACTATGAAACCCTCTTTTGCTGGAGCCACACAAGCAGATATAGAAGGAGGGAGGGAGTAAGTGTTGTTTACACCTTAGTCATTGTGAAACCCTCCTTTGCTGGAGCCACACAAGCAGAGATAGGAGGGAGGGAGAAAGTGTTGTTTAATACCTGTCCTTGTGAAACCCTCCTTTGCTGGAGCCACACAAGCAGATATAGAAGGAGGGAGGGAGAAAGTGTTGTTTAATACCTGTCCTTGTGAAACCCTCCTTTGCTGGAGCCATACAAGCAGACATAGAAGGAGGGAGGGAGAAAGTGTTGTTTAACACCTCAGTCCTTGTGAAACTCTCCTTTGCTGGAGCCACACAAGCAGATATAGAAGGAGGGAGGGAGAAAGTGTTGTTTAACACCTCAGTCCTTGTGAAACCCTCCTTTGCTGGAGCCACACAAGCAGAGATAGGAGGGAGGGAGAAAGTGTTGTTTAACACCTCAGTCCTTGTGAAACTCTCCTTTGCTGGAGCCACACAAGCAGATATAGAAGGAGGGAGGGGGAAAGTGTTGTTTAACACCTCAGTCCTTGTGAAACCCTCCTTTGCTGGAGCCACAAAAGCAGAGATAGGAGGGATGGAGAAAGTGTTTTTTAACACCTGTCCTTGTGAAACCCTCCTTTGCTGGAGCCACACAAGCAGATATAGAAGGAGGGAGGGAGAAAGTGTTGTTTAATACCTGTCCTTGTGAAACCCTCCTTTGCTGGAGCCATACAAGCAGACATAGAAGGAGGGAGGGAGAAAGTGTTGTTTAACACCTCAGTCCTTGTGAAACTCTCCTTTGCTGGAGCCACACAAGCAGATATAGAAGGAGGGAGGGAGAAAGTGTTGTTTAACACCTCAGTCCTTGTGAAACCCTCCTTTGCTGGAGCCACACAAGCAGAGATAGGAGGGAGGGAGAAAGTGTTGTTTAACACCTCAGTCCTTGTGAAACTCTCCTTTGCTGGAGCCACACAAGCAGATATAGAAGGAGGGAGGGGGAAAGTGTTGTTTAACACCTCAGTCCTTGTGAAACCCTCCTTTGCTGGAGCCACAAAAGCAGAGATAGGAGGGATGGAGAAAGTGTTTTTTAACACCTGTCCTTGTGAAACCCTCCTTTGCTGGAGCCACACAAGCAGATATAGAAGGAGGGAGGGAGAAAGTGTTGTTTACACCTCGGTCATTGTGAAACCCTCCTTTGCTGGAGCCACACAAGCAGATATAGAAGGAGGGAGGGAGAAAGTGTTGTTTAACACCTCAGTCCTTGTGAAACCCTCCTTTGCTGGAGCCACACAAGCAGATATAGAAGGAGGGAGGGAGTAAGTGTTGTTTAACACCTGTCCTTGTGAAACCCTCCTTTGCTGGAGCCACACAAGCAGATATAGAAGGAGGGAGGGAGAAAGTGTTGTTTACACCTCAGTCATTGTGAAACCCTCCTTTGCTGGAGCCACACAAGCAGATATAGAAGGAGGGAGGGAGAAAGTGTTGTTTACACCTCGGTCATTGTGAAACCCTCCTTTGCTGGAGCCACACAAGCAGATATAGAAGGAGGGAGGGAGAAAGTGTTGTTTAACACCTCAGTCCTTGTGAAACTCTCCTTTGCTGTAGCCATACAAGCAGACATAGAAGGAGGGAGGGAGAAAGTGTTGTTTAACACCTCAGTCCTTGTGAAACTCTCCTTTGCTGTAGCCACACAAGCAGATATAGAAGGAGGGAGGGAGAAAGTGTTGTTTAACACCTCAGTCATTGTGAAACTCTCCTTTGCTGGAGCCACACAAGCAGACACAGAAGGAGGGAGGGAGAAAGTGTTGTTTAATACCTCAGTCATTGTGAAACCCTCCTTTGCTGGAGCCACACAAGCAGATATAGAAGGAGGGAGGGAGAAAGTGTTGTTTAACACCTCAGTCCTTGTGAAACTCTCCTTTGCTGGAGCCACACAAGCAGATATAGAAGGAGGGAGGGAGAAAGTGTTGTTTAACACCTCAGTCATTGTGAAACCCTCCTTTGCTGGAGCCACACAAGCAGATATAGAAGGAGGGAGGGAGAAAGTGTTGTTTAACACCTGTCCTTGTGAAACTCTCCTTTGCTGGAGCCACACAAGCAGATATAGAAGGAGGGAGGGAGAAAGTGTTGTTTAAAACCTCAGTCAGCAATATTCCATCTTTAAAATGGCGACCCTGTAAATAATTTGGACCAGGCAAACCAGTGATTGTAAACATGAGCTACATCTGACTCAAAGCATCCAAGCTACCGAGGCTGACTACTGGATCCATGGACATTGTGAATGACATACAGATATGCCGAAAAGTGTACCCTTAAGCCACACATTTTATATTTTTCGTTTCACTGGCCTGCCGCCCCTACTGTGAAAAGCAGCCGGTGTGAGAAATAAGTTAAACATGAAAATATTTATTATTATTATGTCTCCTGCTACTAACATCATGAATATAGACCCACTTATACAACATAAAATGTCATATATAAATTCCATGTCTACATCACTATCAGTGATTCAAGAGGCCACCTGCAACTCCACAGCATATTTTCCTATAAATAAATAATTGACATTTATTTGGATTTGGATTTGGACCAACATTGTGTGGCAAAGCGGGAAAAAATCTGTGAAACATAAGATAAAAAAAGTGTGGTCTTAAGAAGAGAGTTCACATCACAGACCAGCAAGGTGCAGACATCACTGTCTTATGACAAGGACTCCTTGACTGTCATGTCGAACTTCTAACACTGGTCATGACGAGGACTCCTTGACTGTCATGCTTAACTTCTAACACTGGTCATGACAAGGACTCCTTGACTGTCATGTCGAACTTCTAACACTGGTCATGACAAGGACTCCTTGACTGTCATGCTTAACTTCTAACACTGGTCATGACAAGGACTCCTTGACTGTCATGTCGAACTTCTAACACTGGTCATGACGAGGACTCCTTTACTGTCATGCTTAACTTCTCACACTGGTCATGACAAGGACTCCTTTTATAACTACGGAATGTCGGGGAATCCCAATATTACAGTCGAGGGAATTCCCTTTCTGCTCACTTGTATCATCATGCGCAGGGCATTCAGCGAAATTCATGCATATTCATTGTCTAAACTACCCTTTGAAACCGATAGCCGAGAAGGAATGAAACAGCAAACGTGCAGGCTCACTCGACTGTTTTTTCCCACTCACCTTGGTGCCACAACTTTCATGTCTTCGGGTTTCATTTCTAACTAGCATTTTTCTTACTGTGTCTTCTCATTCTCAGGGAATTAATGTTCGCCAAGGCTCGCTTAATACATTGTTTATTCCTAATGCAGGATATTTACCATCCCCAAACACACTCGCGTGATAACCTCTATCTCGCTAACACATCACCGATTTGAGGACACGCTATCAGCACCATACAGCAGTCTCACCGACACATCACCAATTTGAGGACACACTACAAGCACCAAACAGCAGTCCCCCCCAACACATCACCGATTTGAGGACACACTATCAGCACCATACAGCAGTACCCCCGACAACATCACCGATTTGAGGACACGCTACAAGCACCATACAGCAGTCCCCCTGACAACATCACCGATTTGAGGACACACTACAAGCACCAAACAGCAGTCCCCTACTGTACCAAAACCTAAAGAGTACAAGTTCTGGTTTCATGTGCAATTGTGAGAACACGATGTTCGTTTATTGTCATATCTAATACGGACAAAGCCAAGCTACACTATCTGCTGAATGACCATGTTCACTATTGTTGTGGCACAACATTACATGCTGTGTGGTGGTCACAGTTCATATGTACAAAAGGATGGGATAGTCACTGTTGCTCCAATTGCACAACCTCGTCACTGGCTCGGTAAATCGGGCACAGAACAAAATGTTCTTCTTCACAATTTCATTATAGCCTCAATATTGATAAATGGTTTCACTGAACATTGAGAGTTCAAACTGACACAATAAACTTAAAGTTGAAAGTTTGTACAGTTCTGAAGCCTTAGGCAAGGCAAGGGTTATCTGCCCTTTGTCTGTTTTCAGGTGTGTGGTCTTGAGACGTCTGCTCTCAAGTGGTCTTGAGATGCCTGCTCTCAAGTGGTCTGGAGACTTCTGCTCTCAAGTGCTCAACAAGTTGGTTCCCTGAAATCCTCTCTCTGGTTTGGATGACCCTGCAACAAGAACCATGGTTGAGATACAGCTATAAACCAATGATGACATCACACTACAGTAGGTGAGGTGAGGTGAAATAGGGATTAACGTCGCGTCCAAGATTATTGCACTTATATAGCGACGTGCATGCACGTGTGTGTGTGTGTGTGTGTGTGTGTGTGTGTGTGTTTGTGTGTGTGTGGCTGCTTGTACTAGTCCGGACTGATGCTGATTTATAGTGCTAGCTCACTGAGATACCATGCCGCAGATTATCATGAATACCCCACTCAGACACAGTATACTGACTCCGAGCCAACCAGTCCTTGTTTTAGCCCCTTAATGCCGAGCGCCAGACAGGGTAACAACAAGTACCATCTTTTAACGTCTTTTGGTATGACGCAGTCGGGGATCGAACCCCGGACCTTCCGCTCTCTGGGGGGACGCTCTACCACTATAGACCACAGAGGCGGTCTCCACACTACAGTAACAAAAGGTCATTGCAAATGTTGGTAAACTTCCAAGGCAGGCAATAACAACAATACCCGGGGTGTTCCAGTGGAATGCCCGGGAATGACCTAATGAATACATTTAAATTGTAATACTTAGGTTATAAATTTAACATTTTCTAAACTTGCCTCTTGATGTGAACACAGTTGTGTTTGATGATTGGTTAAAAGTCAAATTTTCTTTTTTAACATGAAAATGCCATGACATGAATCGAACCTGCAACCTCACATATTGTGTTAACTTTTGTTTTCCCACTGAGCTACCAGGGCAGGTGATGATATTGTTCAGTTTATCATGTCATGACTCCAACCAGTCCATGCTGCACGTTTTTTCTCTACAACGCTTTGTGAGAATTCCTTTTATTCCACAATACACTGTATTGTTTCACTATATAAGTTATGTCAATGTTTTCTTATTTTTTCTGGTATTTCTTGCATTTAAACGGTTCATAAGTTAGATAACACACGCGTCCTCGGTTTTGGGTTTGGGTTGAAAATGTAAAACCTTGAGCTTGGGAAAAGCTCACTCGCGTTTTTACATTTTCAACCAAAACCGAAGAGGTGTGTTTTATCCTATACAGAAGCTTCAAGTTGGGCAAGGACCAGGATTCACTCATGTGAGACACTGCGTCTGAACCTGGGTTATGTTTTGCTTTGTTTGTTACACAAGGAACCGGATGCTGGAGTCCTATCTTCTAACCCAGAATCCCCATGGACATTTCGCAAACATGATAAAAAGACAAAATGATGCTTTCTTCGGAAGATATTATTTCACCAATTTACTTGGTAAACTATAAGGAAAAAAAGGAAGTCTCTAAACAATTGACATCTATCCACATACATTAACTAAATAGATCTTATCTGATTGAGTAAACATCAAAATACCAAAAGTCATCCTTCATTTGACCAATGACCCGTGAAGATTCCGGGGTAGAATAGGTCTTCAGCAACCCATGCTTGCCGTAAAAGGTGACTATGCTTGTCGTAAAAGGCGACTAACGGGATCAGGTGGTCAGGTTCGCTGACTTGGTTGATGCATGTCATCGATCCCAATTGCGTGGATTGAAGCTCATGAAGTCAATCACTGAATTGTCTGGTCCAGACTTGATTATTTACAGAACGCCGTCATATAGCTGGAATACTGCTGAGTGCGGCGTTAAACAACAAACCAACCAACCAATCATTTGACCACTAGGGATGACAACATGTCTAAAAGTATGTCTGTGCATTCACAATGCAATGGGAATGATCTGAACACTAATACCAACGGAGTTATGTCCCTTGTATGCATTCTGCTTTGTGTTGTGGCATAAGTGCCAGACGGAAGCAGGGTTTCATGCGATACATATAAGTGCGTCCAGTACGCATAAATGCACAAAATGGACACAGAAAAGGAATGTACTGCATCCTGAGGGACGCACAATAGAATTAATTGTACCTACAGCACAACAAGGGCAATCGAGGGTGTCTATTAGTATTATTTCATCCATCAGTCATAACAATTGTCTACTTGATCACTGATTCCTTCCGGGTCCTTAAGTAATTACCTTAATGTACATACACTACACCATTTCATTACTTTACAGGACCCACATATTGCCTGCAAGGACCCTTGAAATTAATTACTGGGGGTGCCCCAGCCCCGTTTTTTGTAAAGATAAAAGGTCAAGGTTAAGGCCTGCGGAAGTATCACAAAAGGAAGAGTGAGTGAGTGAGTGAGTGAGTGAGTGAGTGAGTTTGGTTTTACGCTGCTTTTAGCAATATTCCAGCAATATCACGGCTGGGGACACCGGAAATGGGCTTCACACAATGTACCCATGACATGGGTATCACAAGAGAGAATAGGTGACAAAATGTCTCACCTCTATAAATTTCCTCAATGGGATATGCTTCTTCAGATGGCTCGTCAGCCTAGAACAAAGTAATATACATGACAGAATGAAAACGCCATTCACTATCACTTTAACAAATCTTGACTTCAAATCACTACTTCCTCTTAGAATGATGAACATGGCCTTGACAAAAACACTTTGGACTGAACACTGTTGATAGCACTATAGCACACAAACTAACTTAAGACACAGCGCATCCTTTGCATCCTTTGGTGAGTATGTATTAGGATGACATCTATGGACTATGTGGTTGTCTCACCTGAATTAGGATGACATATCTATGGGTGAAGCAGCTGACTCACCTGTTGTATTGTGACACATCCACTGATGAAGCAGCTGACTCACCTATTGTAGTGTGACACATGAAAAGGCCATCTCACCTGTTGTAGTGTGACACATCCACTGAGACACCTGTTGTAGTGTGACACATCCACTGAGACACCTGTTGTAGTGTGACACATCCAAGGATGAAGCAGCTGACTCACCTGTTGTAGTGTGACACATCCACTGATGAAGCAGCAGACTCACCTGTTGTAGTGTGACACATCCACTGATGAAGCAGCTGACTTACCTGCAGTAGAATGACAGCACCAGGAGACACCTTTAAATCTTGTAGTGTGCGAGAGTCGTCACTTAAGTTCACTCCATCGAGAGACAGATTCTGGTCAAATGGTGGCACGGAGAACTGCTTCATTATCTGACAACAACGTAAAAGTAGAAGATTACAACACAAAATACTTGAGCAGATAACTGTCACTACTTGTTGTCTGGTTATTTCTTCGAAAACAAAGACAAAAGGATCAATGTCAGACAAAATCTTTCATCTTCTGCACATGGACTGACCTTTATTTTCAAGTCTTTGAGGGTCAGATCAGATGACACAAGCACCTCCTTCTCTCCACGCGTCTTCCGATGTCTCTGACTCTTCCTCCTGAGAGATCCCACCTCCTCCATCCTCACCATCTTCTCCATCGTCAACTCCTCATCCAACTTTTTCTTCTTGGCCTGGGACTGATGGAGAGAAGAGAATAATGTACATAAAACAAGTAGTTCTGTAACACCAGTGCTGCTGTTGTTTTAGTTTTAAGGTCAGACACGGCATCTTAAATTGACATAATTGCTTCATTATGTCGAAATCGAGATTTTAATTTTTTTTAGCATATATGACACATGTACTTAGTGATGCAACATGTTTTTTACACCATCATGTACTTTTACTGAATAAAAATCAATATTAAAATCATAATATGTGCTATATTATCTAAATATGTTCACAATCAACATGGAAAAACCTGAACTTCACCCATGACGCCTCCTCAACTGTAACGAACCCTTTAATGTTATACATCGATAGAAGGCTAATTGTTTCCACCATGTTTCTGCGCCAAAACATTCTAAAATAGGTATTCCACTTGAGGATATCGTCGCTTTTTCCCGCTAGTCATTCTGTACGAAAACTACCATGTTAAAGAAGAAATATCCCCTAATGCCACATTCGGGAATATCCGCTCAAAACAAATAAAGTACAACATATCCCACAATGCACCATTCAGCTTAGCAACGAAACTTCGTCCTTTTTCGGTAGTTATTCAAAATGGCGGCTGCCTAGCGAAAAGATTGACAGGTAAACATCGTTTTTATTATTTTCTTGACTGAAAATTGTTGTATTTTTTTATAATGAGGTCAAAACACAGGTCAAAACACCCCTATGGGAAGAATACAAGGCGAAGGACAAGTCAGTTGAAGCAGTTCAAAATGCGGTGTTAGAGTTACGACACGTGCTGACAGCACGATCAACCCTGCGTCAGATTCTGACAGCTTGGATATTTCAGAATCATCGGAATCATCTGGGGACCACGCTGTTTAGAAAAACATCCCCGCTGGAGACAATGAAGGTGAAGTGTGAGTGGTGGTGTGTGTGTCATTGATGTGTGAGTGGTTGTGTATGTATCACTGATGTGTGAGTGGTTGTGTGTGTGTGTCATTGATGTGTGAGTGGTGGTGTGTGACTCATTGATGTGTGAGTGGTTGTGTATGTATCACTGGTGTGTGAGTGGTTGTGTGTGTGTGTCATTGATGTGTGAGTGGTTGTGTGTGTGGTGTGAGTGGTTGTGTATGTATCATTGATGTGTGAGTGGTTGTGTATGTATCACTGATGTTTGAGTGAGATGTGTGGTTGAGTGTGTGGTCTATGTATGGCTGTGTGTGTGTAATGTGTGTGTGAGATGTGTGTGTAATGTGTGTGTGAGATGTGTGTGTAATGTGTGTGAGATGTGTGTGAGATGTGTGTGTGTGTGAGATGTGTGTGTGTGTGAGATGTGTGTGTGAGATGTGTGTGTGTGAGATGTGTGTGTGAGATGTGTGTGTAATGTGTGTGTGAGATGTGTGTGTAATGTGTGTGTGAGATGTGTGTGTAATGTGTGTGAGATGTGTGTGTGTGAGTGAGATGTGTGTGTGTGAGAGATGTGTGTGTGTGGTGTGTGCGTGTGTGAATGTGTGGTTGTGTGTGTGTGTGTTACCTGTAGATAGTCAGGGTCCTCAGCTCTCTCCATGTTGCTGTTCTCTCCGTTCCCCAGCCCCCCTGGCATGATCTTCTCCACCGGTGCAGGACCCACCCCATTCTTCTTCTCCGGGGCTATCTTCCGGACATACACCACACAGTCTTTGAAAATAAACCGGTTGGATTCTTCTGTTGCTAATCTAAGAGACAGACAGTCCTGGCAGATTTCTGGAAAAGAATGTTTGTCATTTTGTATCTACCTGCCAATATAACAAGATGTACGGTATATGTACCTGGCAATGTGACAAGATGTACATCTACCTGGCAATGTAACAAGATTTATTCTGCCTCAAAGTGAGATTGACCAATCAGAGAGCAGAACTACTAACCCAATACGAGCCCGTATACCATCAGTTAAAATCCATGATGGTTGCTACTGACCTAATATGAGACCATATACCATCAGTAACAGCCGTTTTGGATTTTGCAACTCACCTCACATATTTCACTTGAAAATTCTGGTACAGACATTTGTTTTCCGGCACTCTTTTGTGTCTTAATATAAGTAAATGTGATGTGCAAAGGAAGAAATTATTAAAGAAACCACGTTTGAGACTTTTTTGATAAAAAATATAGTGAGTGTGAGTGAGTTTGGTTTAACGCAGCTTTTAACAGTATTCCAGTTATATCGCGGCGTGTCAGCTTAATGTGGGAGGAAAGCCCGAAGTGATGCAGGTCACAGACGTTTACCACTTCGGTGAAACCCACGAGCACAGGTATGGTGCTGACAAACCTAGAAACATAATCGGGGCGAACCGGGATTCGAACCCACAATCATAGGTTTCTGGCGTGCCCAAGGGACGCAACCCTGCGCAGCGAATCGCGGCGCCTTAGACGACTGGGCCACCCAGCCCCCGATAAAAAATATAGAGAAAAAAAAGCTTACAACGGAGCTCACTGATTTACAAATAGCAATTCGTTAAACATTATATAGGATGACGTCACAAACAAGAAATTTGACACCAATGATGTCACATAGCAATAGAATAGATAGCAGCCCGTCGTTCGGGAAAAGCGGACTGCTATCAAGTTACAGTGGCCCACAGATTTCCGATAACATTTTATGATAATTATATCCATTTAGCTATGATACTTGTTTTAACTTCCACATTTAATGCATTATGTATTCCATTGTTAACGTTTGTGTTTAAACCAAAGCATTGTATAGGAAACATATGTACTGGTCCTGACATTTATACTGGTTGTAAGTGTCAAGTTTTCATACTGACATCACATGTGCGATGAAGACACCAAGTAGTGTACATTTTTCGGCATAATAAATTCGTTATGGTGTCTTTAGTTATGGTGTCATATTAGATTAGCCCAATATTTCTCTGTATAAGGCAGCTAAAGACACCATAGCTAAAGTTCAATATGGTTGTTACTCCAACCGTATACCATCAACAACAACCATCTTGGATTTTCCAACACCCACCTCACATATGTCTCATGAAAATTTTGGTACAGAAAACTGTTATTCCACACTGTTTTGTGTTTTTCTATAATAAATTGTGATGTACAAGAACATTAATGTTTATAGAAATCACGTTTGTAACATTGTTAATATAAATTACAGACATACCGTATTCAGTAATAAGCGCCCCGCTCTAATAAGCGCCTACGGCAATATTTGCTAATATATTGGCTAGTGAACAATCCCAATTAGCACCCCTTCCGATTGATCAATTTACACAAGATTCATTTTTTCGTGTATAAAATGCACTCGTGTGTCATATGCACCCTTAATTATGGGCAATTAAATTCTGGAAAAATATATCTGTCGTTATATAAACATTTTACGCTGTCAGCATAAACCACGAAATTTATGTCGTTTTCTGGGTTTTTTTTAACCAAAATAATATTCTAATAAGAGCCCCTATTTCTAATTTTGAGTGCGCCTAGGGCACTTATTACGTCGAATACGGTAAATTATTAAGTGTATATCTACCTGGCAATGTAACAAGACTCCTAGAGCCATCAGCCTCCTCCAGCTGAACGGCAGTGATCTCCACATCAAACCCCATGTGTTGTGTTAACATCACCCACTCCGATGGCCACAGCAAACAAACACTACAACACAAGACACGAACAAAGCAGGGTTAGAATTTACCACTAGCCTGCTAGCTCGGGGCTAGTACAAACTCCTGCGGGCTAGTACAATTTCGCCATTGTTTTAACATTACAAGGGCATTTTACCTTTACCCAGGCTAGTAAAGGTTTTGAGTTTAGTTAACCCTGGACATGCCAGTGTGAACCAGATATTTATACAGCACATCACCAACACAATGCTTCAACTTGGGCTGGGACAAGTCCAAATTTACTACCCGGGTATCCGCCCCCCTATTACCCGACCCTACCCGGATACCAACTGTAGGTCTCAAGAGATACAAAATGTCTGTTGGAATTTCTTTCTACCACAGCACTTGCAAAACGTATTTAGATACATGTATTAAACGATCTGGTCATGCACACACTGAAGTTGAATTAAGTTATATCTTTATTCAACCATATGAAAAGTCAGAAGGAATGGGTGCATAGTCAGAAAGAAATGTGAACATAAATGACTTGTAGTGTAACCATAGAGTTCTAGATAATTTTTGTCATTAAAAAATATATCACGTGACTAACCATGGGTCCGTGTAGTCCTGTGGGTACCCGGGTCCTACTCAGTACCCACCCGATCCGGGTACCCGAGTTACCAATCCCAGCCCTAGCTTCAACAGATATACACAAGTTTCCATTGCTTCTGTTTTATTCTCAGTCATAAGAAGATGTCAAACCTCTCTGATTTCAGTTGCTGAATGTCATATTATAGACACCGATATATACGATGATGAAATATTTCATGATGAAAAATATAAGGACAGGCCTCAAAGTTCAAATTTTTACCAAGTAGCCATATGGCTACAAGTATTGTTTTCCAGGTAGCCAGTGGTAAAATCAAGAAGTCAAGTCAGTGTTGTAGGTAGCCCAATGCGTTTGAAATTATCTTTTGTCAAATAACTTTAATATGTACAAGTCATTGCACTAGTCTTGGAATTGTATATTAGTGGAAACTGTACATGATTTTTGTTACTTGTAACTCGAACAATGATGCAATTTATGCTTCAAGATTATATAGGTATATCCTTGCTTATCCAATGAGCATTGTCAACTGAAATAAAATCCTAATAACTTTAATATACATGTATCTGTATTTCTGTTCATTGACTACTTAAGGAGGAATTATTTGCGAGTACAATTATCAACAGTGTCTTCCAAGATCAGCTGTTATTTATTTTTGTGTCCAACTATGTGTGGCAATAGAATTTAGTCGCCACAAGATATTTTTCAAGGTAGTCATTTGGCTACCTCTGAATTTTAGACAGTAGACAAATTGAAACTTAGGTCACATTGGCGACCGTTTTAGTAGCAACTTTGTCATGCTCAGATGCGTTAGCGAGCAAATCGACTCACGGCAGCTAGTGAGCCCCAGCGGCCAGTGTCAGACAGCCAAGCAGAAGCCAGAGATTAGTGCCCCTTTAAACAAAGAGGACATGTGTTTATGACTTAGCAGAAAGATCAGCTGCAGTATGATCCTTGGTCATGTACAGACAGATGGTCACAAAGGAGCACTGACGTTCTTAAAGACCCTGAAGGATGACAACTGAACAATAACAGACAACAGATGCGAGATCTCTGATTTTCATTGACTATTCACATCTTCCCGAGGCAAGTGTGTTAACAGACTATAAAAGTCCAGTTTCCACCCTTGCCGAACTAGGCTTGAATTCCTGGGCTCGACCGTAGCGCCACCAGTGGTTACTACGAGTTATGTCCCTTCTAAGCCTCTCATATGGACCAATCAGATTCCACCTCTCGTATCACTTGCATTTGTTTCAAACAAAATGGCAGCACCCAGTCAAGACGATCTGATCGATAATTAAGATCGTAGAAAAAGACAACGCAAGATAAACATATTTTAATTGCATATAAGGTTTGTGCACGCACTTGTGATGTGTTTCATTCCAGGTCGCCTTATACACGGAGTATAGGATTCTGGGTTGATTTCGAAGGCCTGTACAGGGGGGTCGTCTTATACGTGGGGTCGCCTTATACACAGCGATATACGGTATATTGTGATGAAACGGGTCTTACACAGCGAAGTGCATCAAATCAAGTGAGCACATTGATTAAAAACATGAAAAGACTTGGAAAATATCTGTTGACGAGTTGGCATGCCCATGCTTTGCAAATCCTGCAATCAACAGAAATCTGCACGACATTTTACGAACCGGATTTCGATATCGGTGCACGATTTAGATTGGACTATGCATAGACTCGTTAGTCCAGCCAAAATGTAACTTCATAATACCAGCCTAGTTCGGCAAGGGTGGAAACTGGACTTTTAAAGTCAGTTAACTTCCTTGCCTCGGGAAGATGTACTATTCAGTGCGATGTCCACCACTAGCAAGCAAGACCACAAATGTGTTTTCAAGTGAATCAGCAAGGACTACATGGTTTCATGACGGCCAATACTGCTACCTGAGTTTGACATCACTCAGGGTCTTTAAGAATGTCAGAGCTCTTGTGTGACAATCTGTATATGACCAAGGCTTATACTGCAGCTGATCTTACTGCTAAGTCATAAACACATGTTCTCTTTGTTTGTGCATTTAATGTTTTTTGTTTTTTTGTTTAACGCCACACTAAGCAATATTTCAGATGTATGACGGCGATTTGTAAATTATCGAGTCTGGACCACACAATCCAGTGATTGGCATCATGAGCATCGATCCACGCAATTGGGATACGATGGCATGCATCAACCAAGTCAGGGAGCCTGACCACCCAGTCCCGTTAGTCGCCTCTTACGACAAGCATAGTCACTTTTTACAGAAAGCATGGGTTGCTGAAGACCTATTCTACCCCGGATCTTCACAGGTGGCATTTAAAGAAGAACAGACTGGAGATATAACCACAGGGCATAAGCTATACTTCAGCATCGTCAATACTCTACAGGTAGCATGACACAAGCTTACATTTGTCGCCATTGGTAATAAAAACATGGGCATGGCTCTCTAATGACAAGTGATGCTCACTAACCAATCTTGCAGTTCACCGTGGCCGTTGCATGTTGGGGGGTAGAGGAGACCTCCATGCTCGCACAGCAGAACAGAGTTAGTGATGGATGTGACTGGCTCTCGTCTACCGTTGTCTCTGGACACAACATATAACACACATGGCAAGTGATTCACACAAAGTTAGAATAATTCCACACCCCTTCAGCATTGCTGCCTAAATGTAGACTATTATTGATGTAATACAGATGCCATTGGTTCAAAAGAGAAGACATATTCTTTAATGAAGGATAATAATAAAGTTTGGATATCAAGAAGTTGTTGACCGCCCGATATCCATCTGGTAAACTCTTTCAACCAGCATAGATTGCAAGAACTTATTCCAACTTGGAACCCCATGGGGAGACCAGTGTAGGTTGCTGGGGTCCTATTCTAACCCAGAACCCCACAGTGAGACCAGTGTAGTGTGCTGGGGCCCTATTCTAACCCGGAACCCCACAGTGAGACCAGTGTAGGTTGCTGAGGCCCTATTCTAACCAGGAACCCCACAGTGAGACCAGTGTAGTGTGCTGGGGCCCTATTCTAACCCAGAACCCCACAATAAGACCAGTGTAGGTTGCTGGGGACCTATTCTAACTCGGAACCCCAGAGTGAGACCAGCATAGATTGCTGGGCCCTATTCTAACCCAGAACCCCACAGTGAGCCCAGTGTAGGTTGCTGGGGACCTATTCTAACTCGGAACCCCAGAGTGAGACCAGCATAGATTGCTGGGACCTATTCTAACCCAGAACCGCAGTGAGACCAGTGTAGGTTGCTGGGGTCCTATTCTAACCAGGAACCCCACAGTGAGACCAGTGTAGGTTGCTGGGGACCTATTCTAACCCAGAACCCCACAGTGAGACCAGTGTAGGTTGCTGGGGTCCTATTCTAACCAGGAACTCCACAGTGAGACCAGTGTAGGTTGCAGGGGTCCTATTCTAACCAGGAACCCCACAGTGAGACCAGTGTATGTTGCTGGGGCTCTATTCTAACCTGGAATCAAGGCAAGAGGTGAGTGTACCCCAACACAGTGATTAAGATTAAGCTCCTGCTCCCGGCACTCACTTGATGAACTTCCTCCACTCCTCCATGAACGCTGCACTGACCACGTTCGCCTGCATGCTCACATCTAACTTGGGACGGTTCCTCCCCGCGAATAGGTCAGCCAGCACAGACTTCTGTGTGAGAGCACTCTGTCGGTACAGTCCCTTGGTGTGCTCTTCCTCCGCTGTTAGTTGCTGCAACAAAAAAGGTTCAATTTGTTTGTTGTTTAACACTGCACACAGCAATATTCCAGCTATCTGCTGTCTGCAAATTATCACATGACTGACATCATGAGCATCGATCTATACAATTGAGATATGGTGACAATCATGCATCATAAAAGTCGGGGGCACGGGTTGCCCAGTCGTCTAAGGTGCCACGATTCGATGGCAGAGTTGCGTCCCTTGGGCACGCCAGAATCCTATGATTGTGGGTTCGAATCCCGGTTCACCCCGATTTTGTTTCATGTTTTGTCAGCACCATACCCGTGCTCGTTGGTTTCACCGAAGTGGCAAATGTCTGAGGCCTGCATCACTTAGGGCTTTCCTCACACAATTAAGCTGACACGCCGTGATATAACTGGAATACTGTTAAAAGCGGAGTTAAACCCAACTCAGTCAGTCCTAAAAATCACAGAGTCTGACCTCAAAGTCGTTTCACATATACATATAGATAGGAAGTATATGATTGAAAAGGTGCAGCTGGAACAAGGGCTAATGATGATCAATATTACCAGGCATTTCTCACACACAGCATCGTCTCTCCTGTACTGGGGACACGTTGGAAAATATGTCTTTAACCGCTGCCATATTTCTTCAGGGATGAGACGACGACAGCTTTTGTCAGGATTGAGACAACCTGAAAACACAAGGGGTATGACACAAGGGGTATGACACAAGGGGTATGGTATAGAAATGTCAGACAAAATCTGCAATTTTGTTTTCATGCATCACACAAACCGAGACGCAACCATCAACACTTCCTCCAGCCGTCTTCACCTGCAATGTGAACAAAGCCTCTAATCTGTCACTTGTGTGCTCACTGTACAGGCTACTGACTTCGCAGTGTTTTTTTACTTTCACTTCCTGGTTCGGCTTATCTGGGGGTCATATCATTTTCTTTCGTATTTCAATGGTCAAGTTAATACCTCGGCTTATCTACGGGGTCGGCTTATCCGCGGTCATATACGGTAGGTGAAATGGGGTTCAACAACACCTTCAAGGCAATTGCACTTACATAGCAACATGCATGCACCTTGTTTGTGTGGCTGCTTGTACACTGTACTAGTAAAAAATTATACCAGATTTATAGTTCTAGCCCACTGAGATACCATGACACACGTTAACATGGTCATCCCTTTCAGGTTTCTAGACAAACACTCTATCCACTTGACCTGAGCCCCGTTACACATAGTGATCATACCTCTATCACTGTCGTAAGCGTATGGTGAAGTTTTGGAGTTACAATCGTGTCCCTGCTACAATCTCTTCGTGAAATGGGACCCAGGGAGGCGGTCTCAATGTATGGGATTAAGGAAGAATGCTTATTTTGAATTGGGTGATTAGAAGGCAATCAAAATCTACTGCTGAACAAACTTTAGAAAAAGCATTTCGAGACTTTTTCTGCAATTGAGTTTTTACTCGAAGGTTTCTATTTTAATTGGGTTATTTCATTTTTCATTGGGTAACCAATGTTTTTTCACTCATCTATTCGTCACTCTATTAGGTTTTTCACAAAATGAGTAAACGTTTTGAGATTTAAAAAAAATATGAAATAATGTTTTAGATATAGACTTGACTCGGGAAGTAAATTAGCTCGTAATTGTGTTTGGGAAATTAGCTCCTTTGTACTCATGCTGAAAAGGTTTGATTGGGTATTTAAGCGTGCTGTTTCAAACAATTGAGTTTTTCATTTAGTTCATGCGTTTCTGTACACAAGTTAATGGAACGTAATTGGGTTTTGACTAGTTTTAGGGGGTATGTTTTTGCAAATACGCAGCTTATCTGTAGCTCTGGAGGAGGCATTCATTGAACTGGGAACTGGTGGACTGCCCATGTGGGTCATGCTGGAGGTCATGCTGGAGGTCATGCTGGAGGTCATGTTTTCGTCAACACGCCACATCAACTCAACACCTGCTCTCTAGCATCTTCCCGAGGCAAGAGAGTTAACTGACTTTAAAAGTCCAGTTTCCACCCTTGGCAAACTAGGCTGGAATTACTGGGCTCGGTTGTAGCGCCACCAGTGGCTATTACCAGTTATGTCCCTTCTAAGTCTCTCATATGGACCAATCAGATGCCACTTCTCGTATCACTTGCGTTTGCTTCACACAAAATGGTCAGGACGATCTGATCGATAATCAAGATCTATATTGTGATAAAACGGGTCTTACATCACGAAATGCATCAAATCACGTGAGCACCTTGTTTAAAAACATGAAAAGATTTGGAAAAAAGCTGCTGACAACGAGTTGGCGGTGCCCATGCTTTGCAAATCCTGCAATCAACAGAAATCTGCACGACAGTTTACGAACCGGATTTAGATTTTGGTGCGCAATTTTGATTGGACTATGCATAGACTCGGTAGTCCAGCCAAAATGTAACTCCATAATACCAGCCTAGTTCGGCAAGGGTGGAAACTGGACTTTCATAGTCAGTTAACTCTCTTGCCACAGGAAGATGGCTCTCTAGCTGTTCAAATTGGTGAAATGAAAAGGTTTGCTGTCTAACAGTAATCGTCCTCGGAAGTTGTAGACATGTCAAACCCTGAAACCTCAAACCCAAACCAGGGAAACCCTCCACCCTAGCTGTTGTTATCAGATCACATGTAATGCAGATCCTCCGGTTCAGATATGACGTCATGGTGTTTCTTATGTTTGCTTATCAGCAGAGATGACTATCAAATGACCTTTTCTTCACATAACAGATGACAGCTTGCCATTAACATTAACGGGGGCACAGGTGGCCCAGTCGTCTAAGGCGCCACAATTCGCTGTGCAGAGTTGCGTCTCTTGGGCACGCCAGAAACCAATGATTGTGCATTTGAATCCCGGTTCGTGCCGAGGATGTTTCTAGGTTTGTCAGCACCATACCTGTGCTCGTGGGTTTCACCGAAGTGATAAACATCTGAGACCTGCATCACTTGGGGCTTTCCTCCCACATTAAGCTGACACGCTGTGATATAACTGGAATACTGTTAAAAGCGGTGTTAACATTAACTCAAAATCTTCAAACGTATACTAAAATTTGATACTAATGTTGTCAGGTGAGGTGAAATGGGGTTTAATGTCGCACCCAAGATTATTGCACTTATATAGCGATGTGCATGTACGTGTTGTGTTTGTGTGACTGCTAGTACTAGTCTGGACTGATGCCGATTTATAGTGCTAGCCCACTGAGATACCATGTCGCAGTTTAACATGAATACCCCACTCAGACACAGTATACTGACCCCGAGCCGACCAGTCCTTGTTTTAGCCCCTTTATGCCGAGTGCCAGACAGGGTACCAACGTCTTTTGGTATGACGCGTCTGGGGATCGAACCCCGGACCTTCCGCTCTCCATAATGTTGTCAGGAGACATATGGGAGACAACTACATACATGCAAATAAACTCTAAAACTAATCAATCCATGTTTTACGCACTGTAAATTGATCAATACTTTGCCTTGAAAGTAACAACTGTCCTTTTTACCATCAAGTTAGAGGTGGTGAGGTGAAATAGGGTTTAATGTCATGTCCAAGATTATTGCCCTTTTACAGCGACATGCATGCACATGTGTGTATGTGGCTGCTTGTACTAGTCTGGACTAATGCCGATTTGTTAGTGCTAGCCCACTGAGATGCCATGATGTAGTTTAACATGAATACCCCACTCAGACACAGTATATTAACTCTGAGCAGACCAGTCCTTGTTTTAGCCTCTAGATGCCAAGCGCAAGGCAAGGTAACAACAAGTACCATCTTTTTAAGATCTCTAGGTATGATGCGGCTGGGGATCGAACCCCGGACCTTCCACTCTCCGGGCGGATGCTCTACCACTTCACATAGACCTTCATCAAGTTTGAAGATGCAAAAAGGAATTACAATAAAGGCTAGTTTATTGCCGTGGGAGCCTCACCGTGATCACAGAGCAGGTCTGTGTTAAACTGTAGTTCGCACTTCTGATCATCATCGTCATCTTGTTCCCCACTGTCTTCCTTGTCTGGGGATGGCTTCTGTTGCTCATCACCTGGCTTGTCTTTGGCCTCATCACCTGGCTTGTCCCCACCCTCATCACCCGGCTTGTCTTTGGCCTCATCAACTGGCTTCTCTTTTGCCTCATCACTTTGCTCATCCCCTAAAGAAGCAAAGACATCACAGCTGTACCAGAATGGCAAGTATAGCAAGGCCTTTATATTAGATCTCTGAGCATCTTCCCAAGGCAAGTGAGTTAACTGACAATATAAGAACAGTTTCCACTCTTGCCGAACTACGCTTGAAAAATGGAGTATTATTTTAGCTGGACTAACGAGGATATACATAGTCCAATCAAAATTGTGTAACGAAAGCAAATGCAAGTGATATGAGAGGTGGAATCTTGATTGGTCAACAGAAGGGACATAGAAGGGACATAACTCATGATAGTCACTGGTAGCGCTATGATTGAGCTCAGAAATTCCAATCTAGTTCGGCAAGGGGGGCAACTGGACTTTTGCAATCAGTTAACTCCCTTGCATCGGGAAGAAGATCTCTGAGTGGCATGATAGAAGTCGAACATGTAACCAAGGATATTGTTACTGGTTCGATAACTGTTAGAATCAACATGTCAGTACTCTTGTCATTAGTTGCCTTTGTACGACATGGTTCACAGACCTGAGATTCATTGAAAGAATCTATTTGTTTTCAAGTGTTATTAACATGAAATGAAAGTTTGTACCCACCATCCTCCTCCTCCCCCTCGTCTGTGACTTGGTGCGTGACCTGCTGTGAGTCTTGATGGAAGGTGGAGAGAGCCAGTTTCTTCCAGCTCCTCAGTGACGACCTCCCCACCCAGTAGCACAGCTCACTGTAACATACAGACATGACAGGGGGTGAAGCACAGCTCACTGTAACATACAGACATGGCAGGGGCGAGGGAAGTGACATCCCTACCGAGTAGCACAGCTCACTGTAACATACAGACATGACAGGGGCCAGGGAAGTGACATCCCTACCCAGTAGCACAGCTCACTGTAACATACAGACATGACAGGGGGTGAAGCACAGCTCACTGTAACATACAGACATGACAGGGGCGAGGGAAGTGACATCCCTACCCAGTAGCACAGCTCACTGTAACATACAGACATGACAGGGGGTGAAGCACAGCTCACTGTAACATACAGACATGACAGGGGCGAGGGAAGTGACATCCCTACCCAGTAGCACAGCTCACTGTAACATACAGACATGACAGGGGGTGTAGTGACCTCCCTCCCCAGTAGCACACCTAGCTGTAACATACAGACATGACAGGGGGTGTAGTGACCTCCCTCCCCAGTAGCACAGCTCACTGTAACATACAGACATGACAGGGGGTGCAGTGACATCCCTACCCAGTAGCACACCTAGCTGTAACATACAGACATGACAGGGGGTGTAGTGACCTCCCTCCCCAGTAGCACAGCTCACTGTAACATACAGACATGAAAGGGGGTGTAGTGACCTCCCCACCCAGTAGCACAGCTTGCTGTAACATACAGACATGACAGGGGGTGTAGTGACCTCCCTCCCCAGTAGCACAGCTTGCTGTAACATACAGACATGACAGGGGGGTGCAGTGACCTCCCCACCCAGTAGCACAGCTTACTGTAACATACAGACATGAAAGGGGGGTGTAGTGACCTCCCTCCCCAGTAGCACAGCTCTCTGTAACATACAGACATGACAGGGGGGTGTAGTGACCTCCCCACCCAGTAGCACAGCTTACTGTAACATACAGACATGAAAGGGGGGTGTAGTGACCTCCCTCCCCAGTAGCACAGCTCTCTGTAACATACAGACATGACAGTGGGGTGTAGTGACCTCCCTCCCCAGTAGAACAGCTAGCTGTAACATACAGACATGACAGGGGGGTGTAGTGACCTCCCCACCCAGTAGCACAGCTTACTGTAACATACAGACATGAAAGGGGGGTGTAGTGACCTCCCTCCCCAGTAGCACAGCTTGCTGTAACATACAGACATGACAGTGGGGTGTAGTGACCTCCCTCCCCAGTAGAACAGCTAGCTGTAACATACAGACATGACAGGGGGGTGTAGTGACCTCCCTCCCCAGTAGAACAGCTTGCTGTAACATACAGACATGACAGGGGGGTGTAGTGACCTCCCTCCCCAGTAGCACAGGTCACTGTAACATCCAGACATGACAGGGGGTGTAGTGACCTCCCTCCCCAGTAGCACAGCTTCCTGTCACATACAGACATGACAGCGGGGTGTAGTGACCTCCCCACCCAGTAGCACAGCTTGCTGTAACATACAGACATGACAGCGGGGTGTAGTGACCTCCCCACCCAGTAGCACAGCTTGCTGTAACATACAGACATGACAGCGGGGTGTAGTGACCTCCCTCCCCAGTAGAACAGCTAGCTGTAACATACAGACATGACAGGGGGGTGTAGTGACCTCCCTCCCCAGTAGCACAGCTTGCTGTAACATACAGACATGACACGGGGGTGTAGTGACCTCCCCACCCAGTACCACAGCTTGCTGTAACATACAGACATGACAGCGCGGTGTAGTGACCTCCCTCCCCAGTAGAACAGCTAGCTGTAACATACAGACATGACAGGGGGGTGTAGTGACCTCCCTCCCCAGTAGCACAGCTTGCTGTAACATACAGACATGACAGGGGGTGTAGTGACCTCCCCACCCAGTAGCACAGCTTGCTGTAACATACAGACATGACAGCGGGGTGTAGTGACCTCCCTCCCCAGTAGAACAGCTAGCTGTAACATACAGACATGACAGGGGGGTGTAGTGACCTCCCTCCCCAGTAGCACAGCTTGCTGTAACATACAGACATGACAGGGGGGTGTAGTGACCTCCCTCCCTAGTAGCACAGCTCACTGTAACATACAGACATGACAGGGGGGTGTAGTGACCTCCCTCCCTAGTAGCACAGCTCACTGTAACATACAGACATGACAGGGGGGTGTAGTGACCTCCCTCCCCAGTAGCACAGCTTGCTGTAACATACAGACATGACAGGGGGTGTAGTGACCTCCCCACCCAGTAGCACAGCTTGCTGTAACATACAGACATGACAGGGGGGTGTAGTGACCTCCCCACCCATTAGCACAGCTTGCTGTAACATACAGACATGACAGGGGGGTGTAGTGACCGCCCCACCCATTAGCACAGCTTGCTGTAATATACAGACATGACAGGGGGGTGTAGTGACCGCCCCACCCAGTAGCACAGCTCACTGTAACATACAGACATGGCAGGGGGGTGTAGTGACCTCCCTCCCCAGTAGCACAGCTTGCTGTAACATACAGACATGACAGGGGGTGTAGTGACCTCCCCACCCAGTAGCACAGCTTGCTGTAACATACAGACATGACAGGGGGGTGTAGTGACCTCCCCACCCATTAGCACAGCTTGCTGTAACATACAGACATGACAGGGGGGTGTAGTGACCTCCCCACCCATTAGCACAGCTTGCTGTAATATACAGACATGACAGGGGGGTGTAGTGACCGCCCCACCCAGTAGCACAGCTCACTGTAACATACAGACATGGCAGGGGGGTGTAGTGACCTCCCCACCCAGTAGCACAGCTCACTGTAACATACAGACATGGCAGGGGGGTGTAGTGACCCAGTATCTGCTCAAACGCGGTTTTACTTGTTCCCCGACCAGTTGATCCTTTCAATGTAACAATACCAGAAACGTGTGGCTACATACCTATCATACGTAAACTTGGAGACAACGTTCACAGCTTTCTCATCACTGACCATCTGCTGCTTCATCCTCGTCACCCGACATCGGTTCCGCACACACTTCCAGCACAATGTCCCCTCCCTACAGGTACAAACAGCAGAGTCGATGTAGATGTACTGGCCAAATTCCAAAGACAGTTCACATGTTTGCTAAACAACATAACGCCACAATTCACACACTTGTACACATGACAAGGTATGAGTGAGATGGGTTTAATGGAACTTTGAACAAAATTTAAGTCAAATAGCCCTGTTTCAGCTTGATCTGGGAGGAAAGCCCGAATTGATGCAGGCCTTAGACGTCTTAGACCTAAAAAAGTATCAGGCAGAACAGAGATTCAAACACACCATCAAAGGTTTCTTCTGGCACAACTCTTTTCTGGCTGACTCGACTCTGCACAGTGAATTCAGGAGCCTTAGACAACTGGGCACCTTAGAGGACTGGGCACCTTATAGATATGGGCACCTTCGACATCTGGACACCTTAGAGGACTGGGCACCTTAGACAACTGGGCACAGATGACAGGGCACCTTAGATGACTGGGCACCTTAGACAACTGGGCACCTTAGAAGACAGGGCACCTTAGACAACTGGGCACCTTAGAGGACTGGGCACCTTAGACAACTGGGCACCTTAGAGGACTGGGCACCTTAGAGGACTGGGCACCTTAGAGGACAGGGCACCTTAGAGGTCAGGGCACCTTAGACAACTGGGCACCTTAGAGGACTGGGCACCTTAGACAAACCTCCGGCTTTCTCATGCTTTACGGCACTATTTTCAAATTGGCGACAACGCTTCGAAACATATTTTGACAAATTCTCTATTAAAAATTTGAAACCTGAACGAAAGAACATTCTGATATCGCTAATAGATGGTCTAGATTGTATGGATTCAGTCGTTAAACCCGTAATTATCGTTTGGAACACCCCGTGTTAAAGTTTTCGAGGATGCATGATTAGAAATCACATTCCAACTGTCACTTTCATGATCTGGTAAGTGATGCTCTGATTGGTCGGATGAAAGGTCGTTCTGACGTGACCTCTACTGGGATGTCCTCAGATCTTTGTTTAGCCGTAGCGAGAACTAAGGTCTGATTTTAATGAGATTGAAGGTCATCTTACCCCTGTAGCCTCACGTCAGGCTTGTGTTTCTCTATCACTCTGGCTGCCTACAACACAAAAGTAACACTTAATACACAACAACAAAAACAATAGGGCTGGGATGATACACCAGCTATGCGATCCAATACTCATCACGATACCTTGTTCACGATCTGATACATATCACGATACTATGTTCTCTTATCTGTGGTGTGTAAGCCATCTTTTTCATAGACAGGATAGTCAAATACCTGGCACACTGACGATTTACAGTTGGCAGTGTCAAGTATGGCGCAGTGGATGAAAATATTTACTTTTTTACTACTAATTTTCACAACTAATAAGCGTTTGGTGTAACAGCCATTAAAGTAAACATTTAAGGTATGAATCGATATTTTTTACTTAGTGTGCGACTGTGATCAATACTTGTATAGAAAAGTAAAAAATCGCGATCCCAGGACTAAAAAACAAGTTTTTCCCATACACTGGTCTAAGGAAAGGACAAGGTACCGTGATGGTAGTTAAGGTCCCGGAACATGTATAATTCAAGAAATGTGCAAAATGTTAAGATATGGTAATGAGGTGAGGTGAATTGGGGTTTAACGTTGCGTCCAAGATTATTGCACTTACATAGCAACATGCAGGCACGTGTGTGTGAGGCAGCTTGTACTAGTCTGGACTAATGCCGATTTTGAAGTGCTAGCTCACTGAGATACCATGCCGCAGATTAACATGAATACTCCACTCAGACACAGTATACTGACTCCGAGCCGACCAGTCCTTGCTTAAGATCCTTAATGCCGAGCGCCAGGCAGGGTAACAGGGATCAAACCCCGGACCTTCTGCTCGCCGGGCAGATGCTCTCCTGCTAGACCACGGAGGCAGTCAAATTGTAATGAAAGTTACTAAATTTGTTCACATAAATGAGGACTAAATTTGCAAGTGTTGGATTAAGCTATATGTATCTGTAAGGCTAATGTGAAATATGCTGATTGTAGAGGTTTTCAGGAAGCATGTTTTAAATATTTGAATATGACAATGTCTTTTACCAAAGCTAAAATTAGTGAAAATGCTGATTTGATGAATTTCAGGGCCCACTTGCACAAAGCGATCTTAGCGCTAAGATGATCGTAACTCCCATACTTTAGCATAGGCTTACAATAGTCTTAGCGCTAAGATCGCTTTGTGCAAGTGGGCCCAGGAGACAATCAAAGTATGAGCAAGTAGTGTCGTTACAAGTCAAATTACTCAAATGAACAAATCTTGGTCTCTTTTAGTTGAACACTTCTGGACATTTTCAAGACAATTTCTACATATTTTGCTAAATCATGCATATCCTGTGGGCCAAAAACTGCCCTTTTTATCTTGTTCTGCAGAGTATGTTTTATAAGTAGAGACTGAAATAATCTACAGAATTTCAATGCTCTAAGTGTACAGCCTTCGACTGCCGTGGTCAACTCACCCCTTGAGACCTGACACACTTCAACTTGGGCACCACATCAGGATCTAGTCTACAACATACAGTTGACATATTGAGGGAGTGAGTGAGTGAGTTTGGTTTTACACCGCTTTTAGCAATATTCCAGCAATATCACGGCGGGGGACACCAGAAATGGGCTTCACACATTGTACCCATGTCGGGAATCGAACCCGGGTCTTCGGCGTGAAGAGAGAACGCTTTAACCACTAGGCTACCCGACCGCCCTGACATATTGAGGGCATCTACACAGTGTTCAAAGTAGACATTGGCTCGTAGGCCTGAGGCCGACAGATTTGTTCTCGGGCTGATAGTTAGCAGTTTCTTCAAGTAATTATTTATTAAGCATTTTTTAAGTAATGTGATTAACATAAATTTCATATCTATAAACAGTAGGATAAGAGCATTCAAAAATGTGTATGTTTTACAAGATGATAATTTCCTGATAAATGTAGGCCTCATCTATCACCGCCAAGTCTCTGGCAACTCGGTCAGATGGCTGCAAAAGATTCTGGTTGTGTTTTGTCGTTTATATTGCAAGAGTAGTCTCCCTGCTTCAGCTAAAATGTTTTGGCCAACAGATTCTCCACTAGGCCTACAGTTTTTTAAGTGTGCTGGCCCAAAAGGCTCTCAGTTTTCAGACACTGCATCTACATACATCCAGGCGCTGTGATATGATGCATGTGATGAGTGAGTGAGTGAGTGAGTTGGGTTTAACGCCGCTTTTAACATTATTCCAGTTATATCACGGCGTGTCAGCTTAATGTGGGAGGAAAGCCCGAAGTGATGCAGGTCTCAGACGGTTACCACTTCGGTGAAACCCACGAGCACAGGTATGGTGCTGACAAAACTAGAAACATAATCGGGCGAACAGGGATTCGAACCCACAATCATAGGTTTCTGGCGTGCCCAAGGGACACAACTCTGCACAGCGAATCGCGGCGCCTTAGACGACTGTGCCACCCGTGCCCCCTGCATGTGATGAAGTACCTTTGGAAACTATGCACTTCTTACCAAACAACTTGGAATTTCCACATGTTCTCTAGAATACAAAGCATGGCGTCATCGGAGTTAGAATCAACACAAACACAGTGCTGTCATTGCAATGATGAAATAAGTCAAATGGATTATCTCTAACTTACAACACTCAGAGCTCCAGATAAGCTTTTGGTGTTGTGGGTATTTTACCCATGCATTTTAAAATCATTGGGTATCAGTAATTCTATCTGGGTATTCAAATTTCTGTTACCCACTAGTTTTTACACATGTGGGTATTTAAGTTAAATATTTAAAAACACTGTTCATCTAGTCCCTGCAAACAGGTGTCATGTGGGTTCGAGAGCTTTATAGGACTCAAAAATACCACGATACTTCCACAAGAAAGTGTGATGGCAAATGATCATGATGTAACTGTCATCGTGGAGTTTGGCAAGGTTGACGGAATGTCCGTTTATAATTTCAAAATAAGTTGCTGATTTGCTAATTGAATACGCAGGGTTACTTCACAATATTTTGATGATACGCACAAGTATTTATTTTTGTAGCATATCTGTAATGTTCGTTGCGTATTTGATACTCTTGGATTTTATTTTACTGCGTATTTCTTCATTTTTGATGCGTATTTTACGCAGATACGCAGCTTATCTGGAGCTCTGACTCTTACCACTTACGTGTAGTTAACTATGGTGAGTCAAAAATGACCTACTTTTGGTGCTGACACAAATATTGCTGGTTCTTGACTTTAGGAACTTTTGCTGGATCAGCCAGCCATTTGCTGATCCAGTCTATGCTCAGCCACTCATAATCACAGCCTGAAACAATGTACTTATATCGTGAGTTTACAAGAGTCAAAGGCAATGGGACATTTTCACAATATTGTTCCATATCATTATCAAATTAATAAAACTTCTGAAGGACATCTTGAAGGACAATCAGTGAATGTCCAAGAAAATGCACCGATCTAAAACCATGTATTGTATTGTCCAATATACTTGAAACATGATCACAGCAGAGGACAGATGCTCAACTGTCAGCGTCACTTGCCGAGGCCCAGGGTAACCTTATTCAAAACAACCTTAGCGCTACGACTGTCGTAAGTCTATGTTAAGGTTGGGGAGTTACGATCACCTTAGCGCTAAGATCGCTTTGTACAATGGCACCCTGGTCTTCCAAGATGTCACACTCCTGGATCCTCTTGCACAAGCAGTCTTAGCGCCAAGACCATGGTAACTCCCATGAGCTAACCGAGACTTACGTTAGCCGTAGCGCTAAGATCGCTTTGTACAACAGCACCCTGGTCTTCCAAGATGTCACACTCTTGGATCCTCTTGCACAAAGCGATCTTAGCGCTAAGACCATCCTAACTCCCATGCGTTAACATAAGACTTACGTTAGCCGTAGCGCTAAGATCGCTTTGTGCAAGTGGGCCCAGGAAACTGTGGTTCAAACTTGTATGATGTAGAAAGCTGAACATGTTTTACGCTCAGTGAACGATATGCTACTAGCTAATGTTCTTAATTCAGGTAAAGATTTCCTAGATTTGATGAAATATATAAATTTATTATATACTTCAGTGTGGAAGACTCAGTTTTCTGAAGTTGAGAAAAGTGATATTTTCACTGCAGTGAACATAACACTGACGGAACTATTGTCATACAAGAGTAACCTCCCCTTAAATTGTCTCCCTTTATTGCAAGTGTCAAGCCGGTACACAAACTGTTGACTTTTTTTTCACACTAGTTTAACATTGGCAAGACAAAATATTGACATATGGTCATTGATGGAGTTAATATCACTTCGTTATAAACTGTAAATTTAGAGACTGTTGGTTTCTCAAAGCGCCATCTTTGTTACTTGATAATAGCATATTCTTTCGCTTCCAACAGCGGTCTTCTAGTTTTCAAGAATAATTTTGTCAAAGTTGATTTTGTATATAATCAGATCTAAATGTATGATAAAGAATTTTCGAGACCCTAAATATTTTTTTATAATTTTTTTTTTTTTTCCTTTTATTGTTTTTAGAAAGACCCACCTGTTACATAAATGGGCTTCCGCCCAGGGTAGCAGAAAGCCCATGACATAAAGCACAACTTATCAGTACATCTTACTTTGTTGGTTTTTTTTACAGAAAATAACATACTTCTCACTCACACATTCACTCTTGTTTATATATCATATTGCAGTTTAGGAAAGTACATGGTCTCAAACATTAAAATCTTAAGTACAAAACTAAAATTAAATTGAAAGCTGCTCCTCATTTTCGAAAAGTTGATGATACAGCATCCCAGCACCATAGAATTTCTGTTGATTACCTGTCTTGAAAGCAATATCTTTTTCAATGTTGTATTGTGAAAAAGCTTCCTTTTTATAAACATGAAAATAAGGTTTTGTATTTTGGAATTTGCATCTATAAATATAGTATTTTGCAATTAGTAAAAGTAAATCAAACACTTTATCTGTTTTTATGTTCTCTTTAACTCCAAAAAGTATCAATTCTGCACAAAATGTCATATTATAAACATGAAAGCACTGGTCGATCCACAATGACACTTCATCCCAAAATTGTTTTATTACATCACATTCCCAAAACAAGTGAGTAATTGTTTCCTTTTCATTGTGACAGAAGGAGCACAAATCATTCTGAGCAAAATTGAGTAAATACAGAAAAGTATTAGTGGTGAGAATTCTGAGGGTAATTTTGTATTGAAACCATCGCAGTTTGACATCCTGTGTTGTACTGAAAATCTTATTATAAATATTGTTCCAATTTAAGTTTTCAAATTGTAATTCCCACTTTTCCTGCCCTTTAGTTTTTACGAACCGGATTTTGATGACCCCCTGTGGCCACAGAGCACTCACTAGACATGGGACAGAAATACTCCCAACTTACCTGATTCATAAAACAGAGACAAGTATTTCTCTTTGACTTCTTCTTGTTCAAACTTCCCACTCAGAATTTTGTTTTCCTATTAAAAATAGATGCATTCACACAATGAGATGAAGTTATAAATAGTTTCCTGAAAAACCACAACAGATTGCATTCCGTCTCTCGAAAACAAACATCCACCAAATTAAAAAGGTTATTCATGCAGTAAAATAGGAAACATAGGATACTGTGACCAGCACATTGTGCATCTTCCCGAGGCAAGGGAGTTAACTGACTATAAAAGTCCTGTTTCCACCCTTGCCGAACTAGGCTGGTATTATGGAGTTACATTTTGTCTGGACTAACGAGTCTATGCATAGTCCAATCAAAATCGCGCACCGAAATCAAAATCCGGTTCGTAAACCATGTAAACTGTCGTGCAGATTTCAATCGATTGCAGGATTTGCAAAGCATGTGCACCGCTAATTCGTTGTCAACAGATATTTTCCAAATCTTTTCATGTTTTTAATCAAGGTGCTCACGTGATTTGATGCATTTCGCGATGTAAGACCCGTTTTATCACAATATAGATCTTGATTATCGATCAGATCGTCCTGACTGAGCGCCACCATTTTGTGTGAACCAAACGCAAGTATACGAGAGATGGAATCTGATTGGTCCATAGTAGAGGCTTAGAAGGGACATAATTGGTAATAGCCACTGGTGCCGCAACGATCGAGCCCAGTAATTCCAGCCTAGTTCGGCAAGGGTGGAAACTGGACTTTTAAAGTCAGTTAACTCTCTTGCCTCGGGAAGATGCACATTGTGTGACCAATCCAAATATGGTCAGCTCTTGTATCTATGATGTTAAGCCTTAGAAATCAAATCACAAATAAATTGTTATCATGAATTTCTCAGCATGCTCAGTGTGAGAAATGAAACGTAGTTTATGCTGACATATTTGATCACACCTTGGAGGCCAAATGCAACATCTCTCAGAATGGTGCTTAAATTGTACTAAAAAGTACTAAATTGACAAATGTAGCATATGTATGTTAGTGTTGTTAAATAAAACAAGACAAAAAGTGAGCGGGGCTCACTAATACCAACGACTTCGACTTCTTAGTTCAAAACATGAAAAAAGCAATATTTTCTCAGAAAATCAACTTATTGAAACCAAACTTTGCACTGCACCTCTTCTATTGGTATAGACACTGTAACCCCTATTGGAAAAGAATCCACGAAGTAGTTTTCAAATTATAGGTCACACAAATGTTGAAGTAAGAAAAATATTCTACGTTCAAAACATGAAAAACATGATATTTTTTCAGAAAATACACATATCACAATCAAACTTTGCACCGCACCTCTTCTTTTAGTACAGAAACTGTTCCCTAAATTTGGAGTAAAAAAACGGTAGTAGCTTGCGAGTTATAGCACACACAAATGTTTAAGTAAAATCATTCTTAAGTCAAAAAAATGAAAAAAAAAACAGCTGAATTTTATTTAGAAAATTCAAATACTGAAATCAGTCTTCACACTGCACCTCTCTTATAGGTATAATTAGTGTTCACCAAGTTTGAAAAGAATCTATGTTGTTGTTTTCCTCGGAAAGACGAGGAGACAGATGGACGGAGTTCCTTGGTATAACTATATACCACCGCAGGGTTAGAAACTAACAGTTTTTGTCCACTAGTCCTTATAATGATAACATAGAGCAAAACCCTAAAATGGGCCAATTTCTACTAGTCCTTAGGATACCTCTACTATTGGGCAGTTTGGTAAGGACTACAGGACTAGTGCCAATTTCTAACGCTGTACCGCCCTTTCAGGTCGGGGGTATAATAAATGTTTTCTTTCTTATTTGTACATCACTGAACTTGCCTAATTCATATGTATTTGTAAGCACTGGTAACCATTTCATTTTCAGCTCCCTTCACATAGCATCTTACCCGGGCTGCGATCAGGTCCGTGATCCAGTCTTCAAACTTGTCATTATCTCGGAGGACATATTGCTGCACCCCCGGGGGAAGGAGGCCCTCCAGACTGCTGCACACCTCCTGGGGAGCTGAAACATGTGTCACACGTGTGATTCTCTCACACAACACCCTCACAGACCATAGACGGATCCAGAATTGGGTCCAGGGGGTCCGGACACCCCCTTTTGAAAACCTAATGTAGTATGTTGTAGGCACTAAAATTATCTCAGATAGGATTTTGATACTTTGGACCACTCCCTTTTAAAAGTGCTGGATCCGTCCTTGCAGACACTCATGTTGTAGGTTGGTTTGTTGTTTTACGCCGCACTCAGCAATATTCCAGCTATATGACTGCGATCTGTAAATAATCGAGTCTGGATCCAGTGACTGATATCATGAGCATCAATCCACGCAATTGGGATCGATGAAAGCTTCAACCAAGTCTACGAGCTTGACCACCCGATCCTGTTAGTCGCCTCTTACGACAAGCATAGTCGCCTTTTACGGCAAGAATGGGTTGCTGAAGACCTATTCTACCCTGGATCTTCATGGGTCCCATGTTGTAGGTGCAAAGACCCCTTTATCATCATGGTGAGGTGAGGTGAAAAGGGGTGTACGTGTGTGTGTTTGTGTGGCTGCTTGTACTAGTCCGGACTGATGCCGATTTATAGTGCTAGCTCACTGAGATACCATGCTGCAGTTTAACATGAATACCTCACTCAGACACAGTATACTGACTCCGAGCCGACCAGTCCTTGTTTTAGCCCCTTAATGCCAAGCGCCAGACAGGGTAACAACAAGTACCATCTTTTAACATCTTTTGGTATGACGCGGTCGGGGATCGAACCCCGGACCTTCCATTCTCTGGGCGGACGTTCTACCACTAGACCACGGAGGCGGTCTCTTTATCATCATGACTATGCATAGCAAACATACATTCTGAGTGTGTAAGTGAGTTGGGTTTAACACTGCTTTTAACAGTATTTCAGTAGCACAGAATGTCAGCTTAATGTGGGAGGAAAACCCGAAGTGATGCAGGCCTCAGACGTTTACCACTTTAGTGCCACCCATGAGCTTGGGTATAGTGCTGACAAACCTAAAAACATGATTGGGCAAACCAAGATGCGAACCCACAATCATGACGGCGCTTAGATGACTGGGCCACCCGTGCCACCACACGCAGTGTAAAGAATTATAGGTGATTATATAAGTGGAGACATATTACATCACTATGACGAACTCATTTTGAGATGCTTTATTACAAAAATAATATGACTACAATTTCGAATATTTAGCATTTGTAGGTTAACTTGTGATTGCAACACACACTCCTCCTATTCCAAATGCTTTACCTTACTTTCATCTAAGCTACCTTAGATTTATTGGTCAATTTTCACGAAACCACTACAGCTGTGTACAGCCAAACAAAAATATACCCCGCCGTCATGGCAACCAAGTTTTTGATGATCTCTGTCCGATCTCTGTACTTTCAAAATCCTCACAGCAAAACGGTATCCCTCAATGTACTTTAACACTGACTTCAGAGATACCATGCCGCAGTTAAACATGAATACCCCACTCAGACACAGTATACAGACTCCGAGCCGACCAGTCCTTGTTTTAGCCCCTTAATGTCGAGCGCCAGACAGGGTAACAACAAGTACCATCTTTTAACGTCTTTTGGTATGATGCGGCTGGGGATCTGACCCTGGACCTTCTGCTCTCTGGGCGGACGCACTACCACTAGACCACGGAGGCGGTCTGGTAAGTAATAACATGAGTCATGATTATAAGATAAATCTGTGGAAGTACATGCGCTTGTACCAGGAGCTGTTATATTGTGAGGTTATCAACATTAATGTCAAAATTAGTGAAACAAGAGAATAAGTGTCTTCTGCAGGTAATGTGTGTTGGTGTCATTTATTATATACATGGTACTTCAGTGTGGAAGACCGAGTTTTCTGAAGTTGAGAAAAGTGATAATTTCATTGCAGTGAACATAACACTTGATATTTCAATGCTGTGAACATAACACTTTGACGGAACTATTATCATACAAGAGTAACCTCCCCTTAAATTGTCACCCTTTATCGTAAGTGTCTGGCCCGTACACAAACCGTTGATGTCCTTTTTACGTTAGTTCCACATTGACAAGGCAAAATAATGACAGATGGTCATTTATGGAGAAAATATCCCTTATAAACTGTAAATTTTGCATTTAACTCGTAGATTGAGACTGTTCGTTTCAAATAGCGCCACTTTTGTAACTTTCGCTTCCAACAGCGGTCTCTTAGTTTTCAAGAATATTTTTTATTAAAGTTGATTCTGGATATAATCATATCTAAATGTGCGATAAAGAATTTTCGTGACCCTAAATATGTTTTGATTCTTTGGTTTATATTGTTCAAGATTTTGCAAACACGAAACTACTTTTTAAGTAAAAAACACAAGGGGTGGTGAACCGTCGCTGTTTGCTAGGTAGGGAGAATAAATAAATTTTCCTGTAGACACCTACTCAAAAAGTATATAATAAATAGGATATTCCATATGTCTCGTGAAAAATCATGATTCTCTCATCGAGTGACTGAGGGAAAGGAGATATTTTCACGAGTGGCGTAACTACGAGTGAACATGTCTCCTTTTCCCCGCGAAACATGAAATATCCTCTATGTCTTGGTTTCACAAGTGGCATGGCTACGGGTGAACATATCTCCTTTTCCCCTCCACACATGAAATATCCTCTATGTCTTGGTTTCACAAGTGGCGTAGCTACGAGTGAACATGTCTCCTTTTCCCCGCGACACATGACATATCCTCTATGTCTTGGTTTCACAAGTGGCGTGGCTACGAGTGAACATTTCTCCTTTTCCCCTCGACACATGACATATCCTCTATGTCTTGGTTTCACGAGTGGCGTAGCTACGAGTGAACGTATCTCCTTTTCCCCTCGACACATGACATATCCTCTATGTCTTGGTTTCAATATTTTCTCACCAGTTTACATTTCACTAATAATTTGACTTTCAACTGGTTGCATTTTCACAAGCTTGCATCTTGTCAGTGCTCTTGACTGCCACAGGGGTGGACATCAGTGGTCATGTCCAACTAGTCCAAACATATTTCGGACATGTGGTTTGTCTCAAATAACTACCTAAGGGGAGAAAATTACTATTCCCGCTAGACTTTCACTCGTCTCTGACTGAGGGTATAGTGAGTGTGTCGGTCTATGACTGAGGGAATAGTGAATGTGTCTGTCTTTGACTGAGGGAATAGTGAGTGTGTCTGTCTATCGCTGAGGGAATAGTGAGTGAGTGAGTTGGGTTTTACGCCGCTTTTAACAGTATTCCAGTTATATCACGGCGTGTCAGCTTAATGTGGGAGGAAAGCCCCGAAGTGATGCAGGTCTCAGACGTTTACCACTTTGATGAAACACATGAGCACGGGTATGGTGCTGACAAACCTAGAAACATAATTGGGGCGAACCGGGATTCCAACCCATAATAATAGTTTTCTGGCGTGCCAAGGGGACGCAACTCTGCACAGCGAACCGTGGCGCCTCAGATGACTGGGACCCCCATGCCTCCCTGAGGGAATAGTGAGTGTGTCTGTCTTTGACTGGGGGAATACTGACTGTGTCTGTCTATGACTGAGGGAATACTGACTGTGTCTGTCTCTGACTGAGGGAAAACTGACTGTGTCTGTCTCTGATTGAGGGAATAGTGAATGTGTCTGTCTCTGATTGAGGGAATAGTGAGTGTGTCTGTCTATGATTGAGGGAATAGTGAGTGTGTCTGTCTATGACTTGGGGAATAGTGAGTGTCTGTCTATGACTGAGGGAATAGTGAGTGTGTCGGTCTATGACTGGGGGAATAGTGAATGTGTCTGTCTTTGACTGAGGGAATAGTGAATGTGTCGGTCTATAACTGAGGGAATAGTGAGTGTGTCTGTCTGTGACTGAGGGAATAGTGACTGTGTCTGTCTATGACTGAGGGAATACTGACTGTGTCTGTCTCTGACTGAGGGAATACTGACTGTGTCTGTCTCTGAATGAGGGAATAGTGAGTGTGTCTGTCTCTGAATGAGGGAATAGTGAGTGTGTCTGTCTATGACTGGGGGAATAGTGACTGTGTCTGTCTATGACTGAGGGAATAGTGAGTGTCTGTCTATGACTGAGGGAATAGTGAGTGTGTCGGTCTATGACTGAGGGAATAGTGAGTGTGTCGGTCTATGACTGAGGGAATAGTGACTGTGTCGGTCTATGACTGAGGGAATAGTGAGTGTGTCGGTCTATGACTGAGGGAATAGTGAGTGTGTCTGTCTATGACTGAGGGAATAGTGACTGTGTCGGTCTATGACTGAGGGAATAGTGAGTGTGTCGGTCTATGACTGAGGGAATAGTGAGTGTGTCTGTCTATGACTGAGGGAATTGTGAGTGTGTCGGTCTATGACTGAGGGAATAGTGAGTGTGTCGGTCTATGACTGAGGGAATAGTGAGTGTGTCGGTCTATGACTGGGGGAATAGTGAGTGTGTCTGTCTATGACTGAGGGAATAGTGAGTGTGTCGGTCTATGACTGGGGGAATAGTGAATGTGTCTGTCTTTGACTGAGGGAATAGTGAGTGTCTATCTCTGACTGAGGGAATAGTGAGTGTCTGTCTCTGACTGAGGGAATAGTGAGTGTCTGTCTCTGACTGAGGGAATAGTGAGTGTGTCGGTCTATGACTGAGGGAATAGTGAGTGTGTCGGTCTATGACTGGGGGAATAGTGAGTGTCTGTCTATGACTGAGGGAATAGTGAATGTGTCTGTCTCTGATTGAGGGAATAGTGAGTGTGTCTGTCTATGATTGAGGGAATAGTGAGTGTGTCTGTCTCTGATTGAGGGAATAGTGAGTGTGTCTGTCTATGACTGGGGGAATAGTGAGTGTGTCTGTCTCTGATTGAGGCAATAGTGAGTGTGTCTGTCTATGACTGAGGGAATAGTGAGTGTGTCTGTCTCTGATTGAGGGAATAGTGAGTGTGTCTGTCTATGACTGAGGGAATAGTGAGTGTGTCGGTCTATGCTTGAGGGAATAGTGAGTGTGTCTGTCTCTGATTGAGGGAATAGTGAGTGTGTCTGTCTATGATTGAGGGAATAGTGAGTGTGTCTGTCTATGATTGAGGGAATAGTGAGTGTGTCTGTCTATGACTGAGGGAATAGTGAGTGTGTCGGTCTATGACTGGGGGAATAGTGAATGTGTCTGTCTTTGACTGAGGGAATAGTGAGTGTCTGTCTCTGACTGAGGGAATAGTGAGTGTCTGTCTCTGACTGAGGGAATAGTGAGTGTCTGTCTCTGACTGAGGGAATAGTGAGTGTGTCAGTCTATGACTGAGGGAATAGTGAGTGTGTCGGTCTATGACTGGGGGAATAGTGAGTGTCTGTCTATGATTGAGGGAATAGTGAATGTGTCTGTCTCTGATTGAGGGAATAGTGAGTGTGTCTGTCTATGATTGAGGGAATAGTGAGTGTGTCTGTCTCTGATTGAGGGAATAGTGAGTGTGTCTGTCTATGACTGGGGGAATAGTGAATGTGTCTGTCTATGACTGAGGGAATAGTGAGTGTGTCGGTCTATGACTAGGGGAATAGTGAGTGTCTGTCTCCGACTGAGGGAATAGTGAATGTGTCTGTCTCTGACTGAGGGAATAGTGAGTGTGTCTGTCTGTGACTGAGGGAATAGTGAGTGTGTCGGTCTATGACTGAGGGAATAGTGAGTGTGTCTGTCTGTGACTGAGGGAATATTGACTGTGTTTGTCTCTGCAGTATGTAAGTAGAGCTGCAGGTGTTCACTGCAGGGGGCGCAGAGGAAAGGCTAAGCATCTTGTACCTCCAAGGTATCTCCTGTGTCTATCTCTGCAGTATGTAAGCAGAGCTGTAGGTGTTCACTGCAGGGGGCGCAGAGGAAAGGCTGGGGGTCTCGAACCTGTATCTCCTTCATACTATTGCACAGGACAAGGAAACACACAAACCACTGAGCATGAGCCGACCACCTTCAATCACACTAACTGTCTTCCAGTCAGGGCTCACTGACAGTAAAGGTCAAGACACCACCATGTAGGTTATTATTATCAGTATTTTTCTCCTGTTCTGTGCAATCATCAGTTTCAAATATTTACATGATTTTCAGTTTGAATCCCTATTTGCTCAGACTAAGATCCAAGGTTGGTCATTACAACACCTGTGTTTGTGGAATTAGTGTCCACACCATGCTTAATTTCTTTACACATTCCAGAGCTCCAGATAAGCTTTTGGTGTTGTGGGTATTTTACCCATGCATTTTAAAATCATTGGGTATCAGTAATTATATCTGGGTATTCAAATTTCTGTTACCCACTAGTTTTTACACATGTGGGTATTTAAGTTAAATATTTAAAAACACTGTTCATCTAGTCCCTGCAAACTGGTGTCATGTGGGTTCGAGAGCTTTATAGGACTCAAGAATACCACGATACTTCCACAAGAAAGTGTGATGGCAAATGATCATGATGTAACTGTCATCGTGGAGTTTGGCAAGGTTGACGGAATGCCCGTTTATAATTTTGAAATAAGTTGCTGATTTGCTAATCGAATACGCAGGGTTACTTCACAATATTTTGATGATACGCACAAGTTTTATTTTTGTAGCGTATCTGTAATGTTCGTTGCGTATTTGATAGTTTGGATTTTATTTTACTGCGTATTTCTGCATTTCTGATGCGTTTTTTACGCAGATACGCAGCTTATCTGGAGCTCCGACATTCAGATACAAGAAGTAGAAACCCACCTTCCGTCAATGTGCCTTGCCTCGTGTAGACCAACATGTAGGCATTCTTGGAAGAGTGGCAGCCTTTAGCTACCCTGCCCTTCTTTTCCTTTGAGTTCTCTGATAACAGATAGGATATTTATGACACACAATCAGAGCTTGACACACAGACCTTGACACGCATTTAGAGCTTGACACACAGACTTTGACACACAATCAGAGCTTGACACACAGACCTTGACACACACTCAGAGCTTGACACACAGACTTTGACACACAATCAGAGCTTGACACACAGACCTTGACACACAATCAGAGCTTGACACACAGACCTTGACACACAATCAGAGCTTGACACACAGACTTTGACACACAATCAGAGCTTGACACACAGACCTTGACACACACACAGACCTTGACACACAGACCTTGACACACAATCAGAGCTTGACACACAGACTTTGACACACAATCAGAGCTTGACACACAGACTTTGACACACAATAAAAATTTGACACACTGGCCTTGACACACAATCAGAGCTTGACACACAGACCTTGACACACAATTAGAATTTGACACACTGGCCTTGACACACAATCAGAACTTGACACACAACCAGAGCTTGACACACAAACCTTGACACACAATCAGAGCTTGACACACAGACCTTGACACACAATCAGAATTCGACACACAGACTTTGACACACAATCAGAGCTTGACACACAGACCTTGACACACAATCAGAGCTTGACACACAGACCTTGACACACAATCAGAGCTTGACACACAGACCTTGACACACATCAGAGCTTGACACACAGACTTTGACACACAGTCAGAGCTTGACACACAGACCTTGACACACAATTAGAACTTGACACACTGGCCTTGACACACAATCAGAGCTTGACACACAGACCTTGACACACAATCAGAGCTTGACACACAAACCTTGACACACAATCAGAGCTTGACACACAATCAGAGCTTGACACACAAACCTTGACACACAATCAGAGCTTGACACACAGACCTTGACACACAATCAGAGCTTGACACACAGACCTTGACACACAATCAGAGCTTGACACACAGACCTTGACACACAATCAGAGCTTGACACAGACCTTGACACACATTTAGAGCTTGACACACAGACCTTGACACACAATCAGAGCTTGACACACAGACTTTGACCCACAATCAGAGCTTGACACACAGACCTTGAAACACAATCAGAACTTGACACACAGACCTTGACACACAATCAGAACTTGACACACAGGCCTTGACACACAATCAGAACTTGACACACAGACTTTGACCCACAATCAGAGCTTGACACACAGACCTTGACACACAATCATGACAATTAGAGCTTGAAAATATACCACCAAATGGGTGATTCATAGTGTTGTTTTACTGTATTTTGAGTTTGATGTGTCAGGGTAAGTTTTCATATTTTTAACTCTTGGGATTATAAACTGAGTTCGAGAAAACTGGAAATTTGACACATCCAAGAAAATATAGTGAATATAGAAAGAGTTTGCCAGGACCTGGCTGTGAGTTTGACACAACCGAGGATTCCACAAATCTGATATTGAGACAATGGGGTTCGACTGAGGCTCACCCTGAATCTCTTCCTCGGACCCCAGGTGAAGGTTCCGTCCCTTCATCTCCTCGATGTCCTCATCATTAAACTTGTACCACGGATGCTGCTGACCCTTCCTGATGTGGGCGACATAGTGACCACTGTAGGCGCTGGGGCCGCGGTGTATCAACACGGCCGTCAGGTCGTACACCGCGGTGTTCTCTGCAATCAGAGCAGACTCACGAATCCATATCCTGATGAGGGAGTGAGTGAGTGAGTTGTGTTTAACGCCCCTTTTAACAGTATTCCAGTTATATCACGGCATGTCAGCTTAATGTGGGAGGAAAGCCCGAAATGATGCAGGTCTCAGACGTTTACCACTTCGGTGAAACCCACGAGCATGGGTATGGTGCTGACAAACCAAGCAACATAATCGGGGCGAACTGGGATTCGAACCCACAATCATAGTTTTCTGGCGTACTTAAGAGAATCGCACAGCGAATCGCGGCGCCTTAGACGACTGGGCCACCCGTGCCCCCCATATCCTGATGAAGACATGAGTGAGTAGAGTTAAGAACACTCTGAACAGTATTTCAGTCATATCATAGTGAGCCAGCAGTTGGGAAGAAATATAATATGTCAATATTTAACACTTTGTTGAACCAAATTGCATGGTGCTGACAAACCAAGGATGAAAAGAAAGACGATTCTGGGATTCAAACACACAAGAAGCAGATCCTGGCATAAGAAATGGCCATAACACTACATTGCATACTGATGAAATAAAAGGGAATGGCTAATAAAGGAATTGTTTGTTTGTTTATTTGTTTGTTTGTTGTGTTGCACTAAGCAATATTCCAGCTATATGATGACAGTCTGAAAATAACAGAGTCTGGAACAGACAATACAGTGACAGATATCGTGAACAATATCCAGGCCATCAGGGTACAATGGCACGCTATCAACCAAGTCACTGAGGTGAGGTGAGGTGAGGTGAGGTATAATGACACGCTATCAACCAAGTCACTGAGGTGAGGTGAGGTATAATGACACACTATCAACCAAGTCACTGAGGTGAGGTGAGGTGAGGTGAGGTATAATGACGTGCTATCAACCAAGTCACTGAGGTGAGGTGAGGTGAGGTATAATGACGCGCTATCAACCAAGTCACTGAGGTGAGGTGAGGTGAGGTGAGGTATAATGACGCGCTATCAACCAAGTCACTGAGGTGAGGTGAGGTGAGGTGAGGTATAATGACGCGCTATCAACCAAGTCACTGAGGTGAGGTGAGGTATAATGACACACTATCAACCAAGTCACTGAGGTGAGGTGAGGTGAGGTGAGGTGAGGTGAAATGGGGTTTAATGTCGCATCCAAGATTGTTGCACTTACATAGCGACGTACATGGATAAGCGTGTGTGTGTCTGCTTGTACTAGTCCGGACTAATGCTGATTTCTATCGTGCTATCCCACTGAGATGCCATGCCACAGTTCAACATGAATACCCACTAGACACAGTATACTGACTCCGATCCGACCAGTCTTTGTTTTAGTCCCTTGATGCCGAACGCCAGGCAGAGTAACAACAAGTACCATCTTTTAACATCCTTAGCTATGACGTGTCCGAGGCTCGAACCCCCGACCTTCCCCTCTCCGGACAGATGCCCTATCCACCAGACCAGGGAGGAGGTCCAAGCCACTGAGTCTGACCACCCGATCAATTTGGTCACCTTTTATGACCAGAATAGGTTGCATAGGACCAGTTCTAACCTGTATTTCCCACAGAGGGAAGTGTGTGTTTGCTATGAAGTTTTGTATGTAACCATGGTAACCCAGAGAGTTACAGTGATTATTTGGCAATGGAGTCAACAAATATGATTATCACACATAAAATTGGGAAATATTTTGTTGCCTGAACTTTAATCTGTAATATTTCTATATTTTCTTAATTTTGTTCTTTTTGTCAAAAGGTAATTGTATAAATCCACCACAGAAGCAAAATGGCCGCCTACCTGGTTTACGAAGATACCTGCTCATGTCCAGGACTTCAGGGAACTGGACAAAACTGTTGATCTTCTTCTTGTGTCCTGTGTGTCTGACAAACATGAGGGAGGCAAACCGTCAACAAACATTCACAAACACTTTACAAACACAACGAGCAGGCCTTGAAGCCAATGTTCTCTCCGGGGAACCAAAGTGATGCTGCTTGAATGGGGGCCATTTTTGATTCATGTTTGAGAATTTTGAAACGACACAACATTGAATAGTGTTGGTCATGCTGAAACTCTTACAAAGATGTAACAGGGATGCCAAGATTTGTGTCTACGTCATATTTACTGGGGGTCTTCAGCATCTACTTCATCCCCATCAACAACAGTCATTGATCTATCATCTCTATATGCGATGTCACTGAATAAGCCCAGCGATGTTGAGAGTTTTCAGTATTTGTGGTGGCATATTTTATAGCAAGCGCCAGTTTATGAAAGCATTTGGATTTTCAATACATATATTTTTCCGGTTTCATGCAGATAAATGGATTAACATATGTGCATATTCGAATTTTTCAATTTGTTAGTTTTTATTATTATTCACGGCTCAAGTAGATCCGGGGTAGAATATAGGTCTTCAGCAACCCATGCTTCTGTAAAAGGCGTCTATGCTTGTCGTAAGAGGCAACTAATGGGATCAGGTGGTCAGGCACGCTGACTTGGTTGATGCATGTCATTGATCCCAATTGCATGGATCGATGCTCATATCAATCACTGGATTGTCTGGTCCAAACTCGATTATTTACAGACAGCCGTCATATAGCTGGAATAATGCGGAGTGCAGCGTAAAACAACAAATCAACCAACAAACAAATAAAGAAACATTATTATTCACAAAAATGCAGTTTATCATGTATTTATTTATTGATGATGCATGCATGTAAATGTTGCCGGTCAAACACTATCTATCTACCGTGGGACTTATTTTGCAATAAGTGGATTAGATTTGTAATGACAAGGATGGATACAAGGCCTTATGAGCTGTGTAGGGAGCCTAAGGGGCTTGTACACCCTCCTCATGCATTTTAGAGCATGGGAGCCCAAGGCACGAAGCGTGCATAATGACGTGCAATCAACCAAGCACTGAAAGATTGTCATTAGTATACAGTTATCAGTGAAGGTGAGGTGAGGTGAAATTGGGGTTAACGTCGCGTCCAAGATTATTGCACTTATATAGCGACGTACACACTTGCGTGCGTGCCCGTGTGCGTGCGTGTGGCTGCTTGTACTAGTCCGGACTGATGCCGATTTATAGTGCTAGCCCACTGAGATACCATGCCGCAGTTCAACATGAATACCCCACTCAGACACAGTTTACTGACTCCAAGCCGACCAGTCCTTGTATTAGCCCCTTAATGCCGAGCGCCAGACAGGGTAACAACAAGTACCATCTTTTAATGTCTTCTGGTATGACGCGGCCGGGGATCGAACCCGGACCTTCCGCTCTCAGGGTGGATGCTTGCTATCAGTGAAGAGCTGGAGACCTATTCGAACATGGGCCCCCAATTGGTCTAAGGGGGTTCTATTCTGTCCTGTAATATCCCTCAATGTGATAATACTAATACCAATCCTACTGTACTTTGTGCTGGCCATCTTGTTTGTAGGGCAGTACATTTACAGAAAGGACTACCAATGTAGGAACAGCAAAGTCAACTGAAGTACATGATGTCCCTGAAGATGAAGAGTGTCAGCTCACTTGTCAAACACAAATCTGAGCAGCTGAATGTTGAGGACAGGCGGCAGGGACTGTAGATGGATGGCCCTGGTGGCGTTCTGCTTGCTCTCACACGACTCGCACATGTACTGGTTCTCCCCCTCCAGTTTCTCCTCCTGCAGACACACAAGTGTAGAACACATCAGACACACAACAGAACACATTAGACACACAACAGACACACAACAGAACACATCAGACACACAAGTGTAGAACACATCAGACACACAACAGAACACATCAGACACACTGGAAGAACACGTCAGACACACAACAGAACACATCAGACACACTGGAAGAACACATCAGACATACAACAGTAGAACACATCAGACACACAACAGAACACATCAGACACACAAGTGTAGAATACATCAGACACACAACAGACACACAAAAGACCACATCAGACACACAACAGAACACATCAGACACACAACAGTAGAACACATCAGTAGAACACATCAGACACACAACAGAACACATAAGACACACAAGTGTAGAATACATCAGACACACAACAGAACACATCAGACACACAACAGAACACATTAGACAAACAAGTGTAGAATACATCAGACACACAACAGAACACATCAGACACACAAGTGTAGAATACATCAGAGCCACAACAGAACACATCAGACACACAAGTGTAGAATACATCAGACACACAACAGAACACATCAGACACACAAGTGTAGAATACATCAGACCCACAACAGAACACATCAGAAACACAACGGAACCCATCAGACTCAACAGACACACATCGACACACAACAGACCACATCAGACACACAACAGAACACATCAGACACACAACAGTAGAATACATCAGACACACGACAGAACACATCAGACACACAACAGAACACATCAGACACACAACAGTAGAATACATCAGACACACAACAGAACACATCAGACACACAACAGAACACATCAGACACACAACAGAACACATCAGACACACAAGTGTAGAATACATCGGACACATAACAGTAGAATACATCAGACACACAACACATCAGCTTACATAAGAATAGAACACATCAGACACACAACAATAAATCCCCTCATATATACTTCAACAAATAGCACAGAGGAATGCAACACTTGAACATGCACTACATCTGTCTGCAGAATGATGAATGTACCTTTGTATCTCTTGTACAAAAGATTAATAACATGTTAAAAAAAACATAAATCTTCATGTGCTGGATTTGAACTTTTTTAAAGATTTTAAACTTTATTATGTTAACATCTGACAGTGAACAATGCCTAACCGCCTCAGGAAATACCATAATTCCTACTCACATACACCATGGATTGAGTGAGGTTTTTTCCGGTACATATTGTAAACAATACATACATGTGTACAACGTGTTCAACTGACCTTGAGAAAATCTTCAATGCACTCTTTCAGTAACTTGTGTCCCTTGATATTCAAATCCAGCTCATAGAACATTGACCCCGTTCTTGACTCATTGCCACAGTTCTTGCATCTGACCAGAGAAGCCAGATTATATGTCAACACTTGAAGAAGTCAGTACAGAACAGAACACTCAACCAGAAAACCTCTAACATCAGAAGGTCTGACTGCATGGGAACTATACACGCTACACAAGGGACTAAACTAAGACATACCGAGGACATACCTGAGACACCAGGGACATACCTGAGTCTTACCCGAGACATACCTGGGTCTCACCTGAGACATACCTGGGTCTCACCTGAGACATTTCTGGGTCTTACCTGAGACATACCTGGGTCTTACCTGAGACATACCTGGGTTTCACCTGAGACATACCTGGGTCTCACCTGAGACATTTCTGGGTCTTACCTGAGACATACCTGGGACGTACCTGGACAGGTCTTATCTGGAACCTACCCGGGACCAGGGAGTTACCTGGGACTTACGTGGGACTTACCTGGGACATTCCTGGGACATTCCTGGGACATTTTTGAAGTTCTTATTCTCATAATTCAGCTCTATTATAACATTCAAACTTAATACAAGTTGACTGTATTAGTCTTGTTATCAGAGATTTGCACAGATACAAATCACATTTGCGAAACATAAACATGACTCCTAAATAATAACCTGAGTTGGAATACTTTTGATTCCCATGCTGGAATTTTCACTGACATTGTAGCAGACCTGGGGGTCGACCATTGGAATCTAAGAAAGCCCATATAAATATCAGTATGCACATACTGAGATTTTCAATCAAGCAGATTCAAAGTACGTAGAGCAACCCATATGCATTCAAACGCCAAAGAAGCATTTACCACTGTACAGGGCTAAGACACTAGCTACTGTGGGAGGTTCACCTTGTGACATAGCAGTACTCCCCGCGGAACTGTTCCTGCACGATGTTGGAGCTGCCGTGCGGCGCCTGGGCAGACATAGCATCCTCCAGCAGGGACAGGAACAACTTGGAGAACTCCTGGGCATCCTGCAACATCCCGACATCCTCCTCAATGTATCTCGAAAGTTTTGTGCCATGAAATTACTGCTAGTGTCTAACACTAACCATGCTAACCCCAACTGTGTCTGGAAGGTTTTGCGACACCCTGTCAAGATTATCAAAGATACAAATGCACAAGTAAGATGCAGGTGCATAGTCACATGCATCTTCTTGAGGCAAGGGAGTTAACTGACTATAAAAGTCCAGTTTCCACCCTTGCAAAACTAGGCAGGAATTCTGGAGTTACAAACGAGTCTATGCATAGTCCAATAAAAATTGCGTAACAAACTAGATGTCCGGTTTGTAAACAACATGGATTTTAAAATGCAGATTTCGGTCGACTGCAGTATTTGCAAAGCATGTGTACTGTCATCTGGGCGTAGAGAGATATTTTGCCAATCTTTTTAATATTTTTAATCAAGGTGCTAAAGTGATTTGAGGCACCTCGCGGCATAAGACCCATTTCATTACAAAAAAGATTTTGATTATCGATCAGCTCGTCTTGACTGGGCAAGTGATATATGAGAGATGGAATCTGATTGGTCAATAGGAGGGATATAGAAGGGACATAACTCAAAATAGCCACTGGTGGCGCTACAATCGAGCCTGGAAATTCCAGCCTAATTCGGCAGGGATGGAAACTGGACTTTTATAGTCAGTTAACGCCCTTGCCTCAGGAAGATGGTTCATATGAAAAGCTAGCAGCACCAGACAAAACCAGGCTGCACCCTGGTCCCATCAATGTATCAGTTGAAACACAGATCCATAAACGTGTCTGAACAAGTACAATCCTAGAGCTCTGATGACTGTGTCATGTGTCCTGTGTCCTGAATTACACACAACACAGGGACTAGTGATGTAGTATGGTACACAATGCTTCAGAGCTCCAGATAACTTTTTGAGCAATTGAGTTTTTACTCGAAGGTTTCTATTTTAATTATTACATTTTTCATTAGGTAACCAATATTTTTTCACTCATCTATTCATCACTCTAGTGGGTTTCCCCCCAAATGAGATTTAAAAAAATGATAAATAATGTGTTTTAGATGTATAACGGTTCTAAATATAGGCTTGACTCAGAAAATAACTTAGCTCGTAATTGTGTTTCGGAAATTTTTAATGTATGCGTTTCCGTACACAAGTATATTGAAAATAATTGGGTTTTGAATATTATTAGGGGGTATTTTACGCACATACGCAGCTTATCTGTAGGTCTGAAGCTTAGGTGTTGAGTGTGCTCACAGATCAATGTCATGTGGACAAGTAAGGGTTAGTCAGACCAAATTTGATTTTTGTTTACTTGAACTTGATGCATGTAGACATAAATATTAGGTTGCAATTTTTCAATAATAGGTATGACTGGTGCATAGATAGCTAAATCGAGCCCTGTTATTACTTCATGTTTGTAAAGACTGCCACACAGCCAAGTGTGGCTACTATAGGTCCCTTCTATCACATCGTTCTACCCCAGTGGAGTATAGAGGTGCCAGACCTTCCCACGCGTGAGATACCTGACACATGGCTGGTCATTACCTGTTGTTGACCAGCGTCCAGGCCCAGGTGGTTGATGAACGAACTGGGATCAATGTATCTGGAGAAAACATGATTGCAAGCTATTATATCTTCCTTATGGAAAACAAACATGTTGCTGTTATACCTGTATATGACACGCCCCCTTTCATCTATTACTAAGGTCTACCTGTAGTGACAAACCCACTTTCATCTATTACTAAGATCTACCTGTAATGACACGCCAACTTTCATCTATTTCTAAGATCTACCTATAATGACACACCCACTTTCATCTATTACTAAGATCTACCTGTAATGACACACCCACCTTCATCTATTACTAAGATCTACCTATAATGACACACCCATGTTCATCTATTACTAAGATCTACCTGTAATGACACACCCATGTTCATCTATTACTAAGATCTACCTGCAGTGACACACCCACCTTCTAATACTGTACTGAAGCAGGGCAAAGATGACCTGAAGATGCCCACAGATTGTTGAAGGAGTCCAGTCATCACCTTCAGATAAAGAAACAGGATGAAGATCGATAAAAAACAAACAGTGACACATGGACAACTGACTCGGCTTTTAGACCTGTGTCTGCTACTGCAATGACATTTATGATTGTAAACACAACACAATTTTCCTAGTTCTAGTGCATGCAGTACTGTCTTAAGTCTGTATCAAAATCTTAGACCTACCTCTGTCTCAAGTCTAGGTTAACATCTAATGTAAAAATAAAGATTTCTGATACACAGCTGCAAACATGCAAAACATGAAAAACTTGAACTGGACACCCACACATCCAACACCATGGACAACTTGAACTAGACACCCACACATCCTACACCTCGACAACTTGAACTAGACACCCACACATCCAACACCTGGACAACTTGAACTAGACACCCACACATCCAACACCATGACAACTTGAACTAGACACCCACACATCCAACACCTAGACAACTTGAACTAGACACCCACACATCCAACACCTAGACAACTTGAACTAGACACCCACACATCCAACACCAAGACAACTTGAACTAGACACCCACACATCCAGCACCTGGACAGCTTAAACTACACACCCACACATCCAACACCTGGACAACTTGAACTAGACACCCACACATCCAACACCAAGACAACTTGAACTAGACACCCACACATCCAACACCTGGACAGCTTAAACTACACACCCACACATCCAACACCTAGACAACTTGAACTAGACACCCACACATCCAACACCAAGACAACTTGAACTAGACACCCACACATCCAACACCTGGACAGCTTAAACTACACACCCACACATCATACACCTAGACAACTTGAACTAGACACCCACACATCCTACACCTAGACAACTTGAACTAGACACCCACACATCCAACACCTGGACAGCTTAAACTACACACCCACACATCCAACACCTAGACAGCTTGAACTACACACCCACACATCCAACACCATGACAACTTGAACTAGACACCCACACATCCAACACCAAGACAACTTGAACTAGACACCCACACATCCTACACCTGGACAACTTGAACTAGACACCCACACATCATACACCTAGACAACTTGAACTAGACACCCACACATCCTACACCTGGACAACTTGAACTAGACACCCACACATCCTACACCTGGACAACTTGAACTAGACACCCACACATCATACACCTGGACAACTTGAACTAGACACCCACACATCCTACACCTGGACAACTTGAACTAGACACCCACACATCCTACACCTGGACAACTTGAACTAGACACCCACACATCCTACACCTGGACAACTTGAACTAGACACCCACACATCCAACACCTGGACAACTTGAACTAGACACCCACACATCCTACACCTAGACAACTTGAACTAGACACCCACACATCCAACACCTAGACAACTTGAACTAGACACCCACACATCCAACACCTATACAACTTGAACTAGACACCCACACATCCAACACCAAGACAACTTGAACTAGACACCCACACATCCAACACCTGGACAGCTTAAACTACACACCCACACATCCAACACCTGGACAACTTGAACTAGACACCCACACATCCAACACCTAGACAACTTGAACTAGACACCCACACATCCAACACCTGGACAGCTTAAACTACACACCCACACATCCAACACCAAGACAACTTGAACTAGACACCCACACATCCAACACCAAGACAACTTGAACTAGACACCCACACATCATACACCTAGACAACTTGAACTAGACACCCACACATCATACACCTGGACAGCTTAAACTACACACCCACACATCCAACACCTGGACAACTTGAACTAGACACCCACACATCCAACACCTGGACAACTTGAACTAGACACCCACACATCCAACACCATGACAACTTGAACTAGACACCCACACATCCAACACCTAGACAACTTGAACTAGACACCCACATATCCAACACCTAGACAACTTGAACTAGACACCCACACATCCAACACCTTGACAACTTGAACTAGACACCCACACATCCAACACCTAGACAACTTGAACTACACACCCACACATCCAACACCTGGACAACTTGAACTAGACACCCACACATCCAACACCTAGACAACTTGAACTAGACACCCACACATCCAACACCTAGACAACTTGAACTAGACACCCACACATCCAACACCTATACAACTTGAACTAGACACCCACACATCCTACACCAAGACAACTTGAACTAGACACCCACACATCCAACACCTGGACAGCTTAAACTACACACCCACACATCCAACACCTGGACAGCTTAAACTACACACCCACACATCCAACACCTAGACAACTTGAACTAGACACCCACACATCCAACACCTAGACAACTTGAACTAGACACCCACATATCCAATACTTCCCAGATCCACACATCCAACACCTAGACAGCTTGAACCATACAACCCAAATCCAGGCAATTTGATGGCTTGGAGGTTCCCCTGGCCATACATACTCAGGACATCGGGCATGTGGGTCTCCCGCCACTGGTACAGAGCTCTCCTCACGGGGAGGTTGTGGAACCACAGCTGCAGGAAGGTGTTCACATAGCAGGTGGCGCCAAGATTCTTCAGACCCACATAAGAACCCTGTCAAACAGAAAACATGTGTTATGCTATCAAGCCATGAAACAGAACCAACATTCATGACACACATAAGAGAATGCTTCTCGTATCTGAATCTCAGCTTCTTCACTAGTGAGTGAGTGAGTTGGCTTTAACGCCGCTTTTAACAGTATTCCAGTTATATCACGGCATGTCAGCTTAATGTGGGAGGAAAGCCCGAAGTAATGCAGGTCTCAGACGCTTACCACTTCGGTGAAACCCATGAGTACGGGTATGGTGCTGACAAACCTAGAAACATAATCGGGGCGAACCGGAATTTGAAACCATGATCATAGGTTTCTGGTGTGCCGAAGGTCGCAACTCGTCACAGCGAATTGCGGCGCCTTAGACGACTGGGTAACCTGTGCCCCTCTTGGATATTGACCGATTGCCATTCAATCGGTAATCATACCATGCATACAGAGGAATGTTCTATCAAATAGTGGTAAAATCATGGAAATGTCTTAATGCAATGTGCCTCATACCTTGTCCCTCCTCTCTGTCTGGGGGTCGAAGTCATGCCATCGTCTCTCATCCAGCTTTGCAAACCAAGACTTTTCTCCTAATGCATTCAAACAAAATGGGTTTCCCCTACAGTTCCTCCTGAAACAAAAAGCTGAGGTGCAATTCCTATGGCCATGGTCAAGTTTTTAAACTTCAATGTCTTCAGAAATCTATCCAGGTGAAAATTTCAATTCAGTTTGGTTTTACAATATGTTGTACATATTAACCAGTTGAACCCATTAAGATCCGGGGTAGAATAGGTCTTCAGCAACCCATGCTTGTCGTAAGAGGCGACTAATGGGATTGGGTGGTCCTAGTGGTCAGGCTCGCTGACTTGGTTGAGGCATGTCATCGATCCCAAATGCATAGATCAATGCTCATGATATTAATCAGTGGATTTTCTGGTCAAGACTCGATTATTTACAGGCTGCTGGAATATTGCCGAGTGCGGAGTTCAACAACAAACCAACAACCAACTAATCAGTTGATGCCATGACTATCAGGTTCAAGAGGTTTTCTACTGATTTCTTGTGTTAGTGATTAAAGAACCAGTCTGCAAGGTTAGCATTTTTTACATGCAGTAAACTATGTTGATAACGAACACTTATTACGAACTGACGGCCATTTGCTGTATGTTTTGTCATATAAAAATGATGGATATAGCGACCACGCTTATGACGAAATAACGGACATAGCGAACTCACTTTGAGGTCCCGGGTGTACGCGGTCAACGACAATGTTTAAGTTTATAACAGACTGCTCACGTGTCACCAGTCTGTCTCAAAACATCTGCGGCCTTGCACGGCTGTTCACAGCAGCAATAAACAATTGAAGGCAATTGATTTTCTCTTAAGTACTGACATTGTGTCCTCAAATTACACCCTCAATTAACAATAGTAACACAGTGACTAGGCTGCCACTGATAGACAACTGCCCCGCCCACCCGGGTCATCTTCTCGAGGCAAGAGAGTGAACTGACTTTAAAAGTCCAGTTTCCACCCTTGCCGAACTAGGCTGGAATTACTGGGCTCGATCGTAGCGCCCCCAGTGGCTATTACGAGGTATGTCCTTTCTATGCCTCTCCTATTGACCAATCAGATTCAACCTCTCGTATCACTTCCATTTGCTTCAAACAAAACGGTGGCGCCCAGTCAAGACGATATGATCGATATTCAAGATCTATATTGTGATAAAATGAGTCTTACATCGCGAAGTGCATCAAATCACGTGAGCACCTTGATTAAAAACAGGAAAAGATTTATAAACGAGTTAGCGGTGCACATGCTTTGCAAATCCTGCAGTCGACCGAAATCTGCATGACACTTTACGAACCGGATTTCGATTTTGGTGCGCAATTTTGATTGGACTATGCATAAACTCGTTAGTCCAGCCAAAATGTAACTCCATAATACCAGCCTAATTCGGCAAGGGTGGAAACTGGACATCTATAGTCAGTTAACTCACTTGCCTCGAAAGATGACCCGGGTTAAACGAAGGCTCAAAGCAAAATCACAGTTTTCCTGAATGAAGGCAAGTGACACTTGTGTCTGTATGTCATTAAACAGAGTACATGTTTTGTGCACACCTTTTTTTATTTATCAGGAAAATGACTTGATCCAAGATGTCTGACAGTCAAAATGCTTATAACAAACTACGGATATAAGAAACTAGAGTTTGTAAGCCCTTTGAGTTACTTTTAACCATAGTTTACTGTATTTATTTATAGGAATTGATTTCAATATATTTTTTGCAATAATTGGAGTTAAAACCACACAAAAACAGAGTGCAGACTTTTCATAAATCACCTACACCGATTTACAAAGTGTGTGAAACGTGAAGATCCGGGTAAAGAATAGGTCTTCAGCAACCCATGCTTGCCGTAAAAGATTACTATGCTTGTCATATAGGCGACTTATGGGATCGGGTGGGCAGGCTCGCTGACTTGGTTGATGCATGTCATCATATCCCAATTGCGTAGATCTATGCTCATGATGTCAATCACTGGATTGTCTGGTCCAGACTCAATTATTTCCAGACCGCTGTCATATAGCTGGAATATTGCTGAGTGCAGTGTTAAACAACAAACAACAAACATATCACAACATGCAGAATGTCAAGCAAACAATAATTAATTAATTAATAAACAAACAAAACAGAACAAACAAATCCAAGTGTGTACATTGGAGTTTCCATAAACGCAAAACCGGTTGGTTGGGTTTATTTGGTTTGTTTGTTGTTAAAGCCGCACTCAGCAATATTAGTTAGTCGCCTCTTAAAACAAGCATAGTCGCCTTTTACGGCAAGCATGGGCGCTGAAGCCCTATTCTACCCCAGATTGTCACGGGTCCAAAATAAGTTGAAGTCAAATCTCAATAAAACGTGTACATATTTCCTATAATCTGATAATGGCAATAGTTTAATAGTTCAGTAGGTTTGTCAGTGAGTGCTGAAATGTTTCAAGAATCATATAATTATTGTAACAGATTGTATATTACTTTTTCTCTATTCATAGTTGCTTATCTTTCCACATCAGTCTGGGACAAACAGGCATTATCTGTGTCACCATATGGAGTTTACAGGAACAAACAGCATTTTACAAGACTCAGGCTTTGGACCTGTAAAAATAGGCTTGGACCGGTAATTCATGTGACTGCCAGTCCCTGTGGACCAGCAAATAAAGCACCTTATAAATCTTTGTTGTTGAACAAAACATCAGGGATATTCATAAAAGTACATTATTCGAACAAAGTCATCGTCACGATATGGCTGAAATATTGCCAATGTGACATTTAACTTTAACTCACTCACTCACTCGAACAAAGTCAGCTTGTCTGTTGCCATCAGGGTTTCCCCCTGTCTGTTTCTAGGTTAAATACCCATTTCTAGCGACTTCGTCTCGAAATATTAAAAAAAAGGAGAGTAAATTGTGACTGAAGTTTGTGTAAATGACGTATAGATTTAACTAAGTTACTTCAGAGATGACATCTTTGCACTGAACATGAAGTTGAAAGAATTAAAACCAAATAATTTTCAAACGTTTGTTTATTTGTTGAAAGTTGGGACAGGCAAAAATAAGGGGGGACTGGTAATTTTTAGAGTTGCCAGTCCACAAGCCAGCGGGCACACTGCACGGTGGCGAGCAAAACCAAAGGGAAAACATTGGCGACGGCGACCTACTTGCATGTTCCCTGTGAGCATGGCTTCAGATTGAGCCTGTACGCCATGTTCACGTGTTCCTGTGTGACATCGTGTGGGTCTGTTGTGTCCGCCCACTGCCAGGCAGCCTTGTCAAGCTGTAACTTGGGGGGCATCCTCACGTCTCGAACAATCTGAAGAATAACAGTGTGTTGGGTTAGAGATATACGTCAACTTGTGTTTCAGTGAACGCTAAGAGTGATGCAAGCCAATAGACATTTACAACTGTTTTGCAAACCATCAACACAATATCTTGATATGTCAAAGCAATTTTGGACCCGTGAAGATCCGAATAGGTCTTCAGCAACCCATGTTTGCCGTAAAAGGTGACTATGCTAGTCGCAAGAGGCTACTTACAGGATAGGGTCAGTTGAATGAATGCTGGGATGCGGACAGGGGTAAAAACAACAAAAGTTATACGATAACAAAAGTGGACGGATATTCAGTAGGTGTTGAGAAAGGTATAAATGGGATGATACTTAGATCCATAACATATAGCAAAACCCTTAAAATGGTCCAATTTCTACTAGTCCTTAGGATACCTTTACTATTGGGCAGTTTGGTAAGGACTACAGGACTAGTGCCAATTTCTAACGCTGTAGATCCATATTTCTTACGCACATAGATTCATTGAAATGAAACCCAAAGAAAAGTCACCAAAGGGGTAAGCATGATAGGTTTTATATTTACCATTGTTTATCATATTATCATAACAACAAACGATTAACGATCCCAAACTTGCATTTGTTTTCTTCATAAAGAACCTTCAAAATAAGAACCCCAATGGAGGATTCATATTATGGCCGTAATCTTGCATACTGATACACACAGTGTCCGAATTAGACTAACATTTAGTCTCTGAAATATTATATTACACAATATCCTTCTTGACACTAAAAATAAAAGAAAATCCCTATGCTGATTGTGGAATAGAGCTAGCTTGAGCTGGCTAGACTTGCTTTTGTATGCATTTCTAGATTATTTTTTTTCATAAATAAATATATTCCACGGTCATGATTCAGGACTATGTCGAATGAGAAACAGACTGGTAAATCGACCAAATTTGACCACACATATATAGTGAGTACATATGAATGTAAATTATTGATGCGTTTTTATTCACACTTGAATTGTTTTACCTACCACACGTAGATATACAGCATGGACAACCGTTGAAACAAATAAAGGGAATTTTTGCTAAATAGCGTCCCAGAAATAAAATACAACTTTCGATTTCGTTCAATTTCTTCGATTGAACTTCGCGCCTCAAGTTCAAGACATCTGCAAGGAAACGACATAAACGATAGCCCGTCCAAAATTACACAGCAACTGCATGAATTCAATACTTACATCTCTAGCTAATACATACCCAGTGTATGATACACACAAAATAGAAATAATGCTATGAAACCATTTCGCACATTCAAAATAATAAACTCTCTGTTGATGTTTGTTAACGTCGTATGCGAAATTACTGTTGAGCCTCTTATAACATGTCGAAGACAATGACACAGTTGTCTAGAGTGACCTCCCTTGCTTTTGCGACGGAACCCAACTTTCATAATTTTATATGTTGACGCTGTTTGTTTCAGGGTTTGGAAAGACCTGTTACGAGGCCATATCGGCAGGGCGTATATATATATTGTATAGAAAGTAGTCACTTTTATTATTTCTGCGTTATGGTTGTATGTAGATCTATATTTCTTGCTGATAACAAATTGATTTTTTGATTATGCGTCTGGAACTTTCCCACTCTCCTACCCAGAGTTCCATGCGACCTGCATATAGATGTAGTACCCTGTGTTATGCTAAGTCACCACTGCGCCGGAGTGTGGATGTTTCACTTCCACGGGATCTGGGGCCCATAAAGGGTGGCATTTAAAAAAACAAAACATTTCCACTTTTGTTTTCTAAAAATTGGTCCGTTTTATTTAGGTCTAGACTATTCTTTTGTCATATATTCAGTGCCTCGTATGAAAAATTAGACATCACCTTGACAGGACGAACGGATATAGGAGTGAAAAGTGGAAGTGCGTTAGATGTGTCTTTAGAAGCTATAAAGCCTTCCTCAAGAAATACAGAATTGTCCCATTGTCTCATTGACTTCCCCAGCAGCTTGATTTGCTCCGAGATAATAATGATATAATCATAATGATAATAATAGCTCGGCCACATATATATATATATATATATATATATATATATATATATATAGGCGCAAATCTGTGACCCAAAATATATAATTCCCCATTACTCTGTTGAGTGTTAGAGCCGGCTAAATTAGAAGGGTGTCGTGGATTGCGTCATGGTACCCGATCGAGCTGGACGTTATATCAGGGAGTTTATATATACCATCATGGGCCTTATATCGAATTAAGTGCCCATGATAAGATACAAATACTGGTTTGTCTCGCCCAGACTTGATATTTACAGGCCGTCGTGTAGAGTGGAGGCGTTTCGTGTATGATTTAAACAAAATTTATTTTGAAAAATAGGTAATATTTTTGTCCTCTTCCCAGATGTTCCGAATACATGATATAACCACTGGAACCATGTTTCTCTTTGTTTCTGCTTAAATTTTGTTTTATTGCTTTTTTAACGTTGTTTAATTGATGCACCATTTACATACGATATTATTGATAATGAGACTATGCTCAAGTCTCCAATATTGGTGACTGCCCCCTGACTAGGGTTAGGTTTTTGATCCAGTAGAAACACTTATTTTGTCCACCGTAAATCTTTGAATAGACGCCCGCCACAGATACAAACAGGCAGTGGCTGTTTTAATGGCGAAATGAATAAACGCTTGCCTTTAATAGACCCAAGGTCAAATGGAACAAATGGTTTATGGAAGTGAGAATGACCAGTCAGAGTGGGATGATTCAGATGTTATGGAGAATAGTGAGGTTAAACTGGTACAACTCCTTATTTAAACAATTTTCAAAGAAAGAAGTTTGGTTGCTCATGTCATTGTTCTAGTTCGTTTCTTTGAGTGACCCAAGCGGTTTGTCTTCAAATGGAAGTAATAGCTCATATTTGTGAAATACAGTAAGGTACGGTTATAACGAACTCAAAGGGACTACTAATTTTAGTTCGTTATAACCGTAGTTCGTTATAAGCATTTATACAGCATAGCTACAGCAAATAGTCGGGACCAGCAAAGTAAGTTCGTTATATCCGTCAGTTCGTTATAAGCGTGTTCGTTATAACCGTAGTTTACTGTATGCATATTTGTAAGTTAACAAAGGATTTGAAGGAGTGATTGAAAACTAAACTAAACTCGAATGTTTTAAATTGGATTTAATCGGTATTTTACAGTTTGACGTTTCTAGTACATATGATGGTATTGTCAAAGTATGATGTTAGCAATACAGTTAATACGCAGATGTACGACCTGGAGTTTTTCTATGTGACAGGTTCTCAATTAAAATATATTGAAATAACTTCTCTTAATTGAGTGGAAATCATGTGGCGATAGGACCGTAAAACGTGAATCTCGACACATGGATGTTCCTTTAGTTAATCAATAAAGTCTTATTGAAACGAAAGCCGTTGTCATGCTAAATGCACACCACACATGTTCTATTCTTCAAATTACGCATCCCTTCTTCATCTAAATGAATGTTTCATGTAATGAAAAAATAGACGTTTGGCTTGAATATAATACATTATAATCACTCCGATCATTTGATCAGTGTGCACTGATAGTTCATGCTCAGCTCCCCGGGGAGAATACAATCCATGCTGCCATTGGAGGCGCTGGAAGGTTTACAGTCACAGGTATCAAGCTGTAGAGTACGTCACCGATTCGTCCACTAAAGTTACCTTACTTCGCCTGATTTGTGAGGGTGAGGTGAAATTGGGTATAACGAGCAGAGACGATCGACGGTTGGCCAGTCGGAACACACAGCAGTGATTGTGAAGTGCAAGAATCACTAGGCCTGTCAATCAATTTACTGATGTGTGTGTGCTGCTCTTCAGAAATTTGTGAATAGTTATTGACACTCTGCACATTTCTATGGCCACTGATTTGTATTATCTGAGTAGGTGGCATTAAGGGGCTAAAACAAGGACTGGTCGGCTCGGAGTCAGTATACTGTATCTGAGTGGGGTATTCATGTTAAACTGCGGCATGGTATCTCCGTGTGTTAGCACTATAAATCGGCATCAGTCCGGACTAGTACAAGCAGCCACACACACACGTGCATGCACGTCGCTATATAAATGCAATAATCTTGGACGCGACGTTAAACCCAATTTCACCTCAACTAACCTCCTCTCACACATAAAACAGTAGCAGACAAGACCCGTGAAGATTCCGGGGTAGAATAGGTCTTGAGCAACCCATGCTTGCCGTTAAGAGGTGACTATGCTTGTCGTAAAAGGCGACTAACGGGATCGGGTGGTCAGGCTCGCTGACTTGGTTGATGCATGGCATCGATCCCAATTGCGTGGATCGATGCTCATGATATTAATCACTGGATTGTCTGGTCCAGACTCGATTATTTACAGACCGCCGTCATATAGCTGGAATATTTGCTGAGTGTGGCGTTAAACAACAATAAAACAAACAAACAAATGTAGCAGACAGTCATAAAGAACATGACACATGGTACCATGAAACCCGAACATCTGACGCTAGAATTTAACATTTAATGGTTATCTACAGTTCTGTGTTCATTCTTGTTCTTCATCTGTATCCTTGAATCCTTGTGACTTTTGTTCCCCCTGGTGCTTGCAAACAGCTGATCTTGGGATGTCCGACATCTTTCTCGCTTGACCTTGGCTTCCGATCCATATAGTGCTGCAAATACTGAAATCCAGGGATCAAACCACATAATTTTCAATTAAACAGAATCTGGACCCATACCTCCATTTCCCCCGAATAAGTCCCCATTAGGACTGACCATTTCATTTTCTGTGGGGACCTGGTATTTAAAGTGAGTGAGTGAGTATGGTTTTACGCCGCTTTTAGCAATATTCCAGCAATATCACGGCAGGGAACACCAGAAATGGGCTTCACACATTGTACCCATGTCGGGAATCGAACCCGGGTCTTCGGCGTGACGAGCAAACGCTTGAACCACTAGGCTACCCGACCGCGCCCCTGGTATTTAAAAACAAATTTGTTATTAAATGATGAACAAGAATAACTCTGCCTCAGTTTTTAAACATTAATAATAATTATTGTTTGCTTGACATTCTGCATGTTGTGATATGTAAGGATAAGAATTTATGGATGAACAACTTCTTTATTACAATTAAGAGCGACGTTTCGGTGTAGGTTCTAACACCGTTATCAAGCAGGTGTTAGAACCTACACCGAAACGTCGCTCTTAATTGTAATAAAGAAGTTGTTCATCCATAAATTCTTATCCGTACTACTCCAACTTCTAAATGCCTATCAAAGAGGTTATGTTGTGATATGTTTGTTTGTTGTTTAACGCCTAACTCAGCAATATTCCAGCTATATGACGGCGGTCTGTAAAAAATTGAGTCTGGACCAGACAATGCAGTGATTGACATCATGAGCATCGATCCACGCAATTGGGATCGATGACATGAATCAACCAAGTCAGCAAGCCTGACCCCCCGATCCCGTTGGTCGCCTCTAACAACATAGTCACCTTTTACGGCAAGCATGGATTGCTGAAGACCTATTCCACCCAGGATCTTCACGGGGTGCATGATGTGTTGCGAAAATTAACAATAATTGTTCGCCTCCTCTTTGTCTTGAAGCGGCGACCGAAAACATCCTGTCGCTTACTAAAATCCCTTCAACCCTATATATATACGACAAACGGCATCAGATTCTGTTACACAAGCTATATTCTGGCTTATTTACCCTCCCTTATCTAGCTTGTATAGCGACTAACTACATATGTTACCCTGCCAATACTAACGACTAACGACTACTGCCGACGCTGCCCGGATAACGTCTAACGACCCTCCCTTATGTATAGCTAGCTTGTATAAGGATTAACGACATATATTACCCAATGTATATCGACCAATGACCCCCTGTTATCCAACCTGTATAACGTTTAACTACATTTGTTATCTAGCCTATATAACGACTGAATATATAACGCCGTCGCCAGACAATATTTAGTCCCGGTTGTCTGTCAAAACAGATCCAAATGGGCAGCAAGGGCAAAGCAAAAGAGTGCTGAAAATTATAGGACAGACATTTGTTATCCAGTCTATATAACGGCTAGCGACTATCTGTTATCCAGCTTATTAAACGGCTAACGACTATCTGTTATAAAGCCTATATGACGACGAAAGAAACTTGATAGCCTTCCTATATACCGACCATTGTTTTTCCAGCCTGTATTTGTCCCTGCCTCTGTGTTCGTTGTTTTATTTCAAAATTTCGCGAATGTTGTACAAAAAGCTATTTCAAAGTCAAATCATTTCTGATTCGTTTTCTATTACTTGTCAATTCTAGTTGGTCAAAAACTACCTTGTCACACCCCACCCTTTAAAACATT